AAACTGACTGTGAGCTCAGATGAGAAACATTAGACTGTCTGAGGGGAAACCCACATACTTGCACACACACTGAAAAATCCAGACTAAAGTATACTGCATTTATATCACTGACATGTATTTTCTCTCACAATTCACATGACTCTAGCTATTGAAAAAAAGTGCTCCTTGGATGTTGAACTAACTGTGATCCCTTATGGTGTACTTGTGTCCTCCAAGATGGATGCAGAGTTCTTTAGGATTATTAGACATTGCAAGATAGTGTGGGAGAAACGTCAAGATGAAGATTCTAGGTCCTAGGACAAAGATCTGATGGATTATTAAGACTTGTAACCTAATCAGAGTGTGTCCGCTGGAAAAGAATAGTGTAAGGGAGAGAAAAACACATGTTTTTAAAAGATGATGTAAAAATAACCATTGCTAAAATGTTCCACAGAGTGTTACCTTAAATAGCTAGCTAACTGTTCTTTGTTATTATCTATGAAGACCCACTGCAATGTATGAGAAACGATGGGAGATTTATCCCCCAAGTCAATTCAAAGTAACTCAAAGCAGATACTAGATGGCCAATGAGCAAGTTTAGCTTTTATTTCTGTTAATTATGATGAAATTATCCAAACTTTTAGTTTTAAATTTTCTGCAAATTCTTTGTTTTCCATCCCCGTCTTTAGGTTAAGTTGTCAATGCAATGAAAACAAATAATTATTAAATATAAATGGAAACCCCTTTATAAAGGGATTTACTACATGTCAATTTCTTATAAATGTAATAATTCAATTCTCCCCTTTGTATTCTATAACATAACATATGACAAAAGTCATGCAATGTAATTCATGAGGGATAATTTAGTCTGAACTAAGGAAAAATCTCAATTATGGATTACCAGGAAAAATTCTCAGTGTGCAGTTATCTAACATCTTGAGGAAACCCCTTCATCGAGCCTGTGTTAACCAATGGTGGACAAGTTCTGTGGGTAACTCAATTCCATCCCATCTTTCATCCCAAATATTGACAACTTTCATCCCCACCTCACAGAGTGTCCATGGTAAGATTGCACAATGCATAAAAATTCAAGAGCATATTTTTATTCTTTGACAGGTCATCAGCCTCTACTGGTGGGATTTGCCTGTTATACCTAAGAGTTACCATTGAGTCCAACAAGTTCTCCTTTCCTGGAAAATTAAACATAATATCCCAGAGGTCCCACTTTTACTAAGGTAAAAATGTGCATATGAGTCAAGAAAGCCCTGCTTTTTCTAGAGAGAAATGCCTGTGTTCTTTTACATAGATAGTCCACTTCCAGGTCCCTGGCATCCTAAGTTTGGGGACAGCTACATCAGAAGAACTGAGCTCCCTTGGACTCACTCACTAGAGAGAGAGAAGGAGTCATACGCTCCATAAATGTGGTTTGCATTTTATGGTGCCCTGTTAACGTGTTTCAAAATCTGATAGATGGGTGCTCTGACAAACATACTGAAACGTGATCTAAACAGTAAGAACATGTTCTGATTACCAAACTGAGAGACAATGGAACAATGACATTTGTGATTTATTGTTGGGTTTTATTTCCTGACACTCACTTTGGTGATGAGGTGATCTTCGTTTATATGCACTATGGGAAAAATCCTTCCCCAAGGATGTTTAAGAGTGTGTTTATTTTTGTAAAATAACTTCAATGTTGTGAGTTCAGCTAAGCTTACTACATCATACAGCGTTGTTGAGAGCCTATATTACACGTGGTTTTGTTTTTGTTTTTAATCACGGGATAAAGAAAAGACAGAAAATAAGTTTAGACTATTTTTTCCACTAATTTTTCAAAACACATGAACAAAGTTGATACTCAGGAAGGCAGAAGAGCAGAAGGTTATAAACACAGCCTATGGTGCCAGGAAGAGCTGGTGCAAATCCTGAGTCTGTCGCTTACCAGATGTGTTGGAAGATGCCAGGCACCAAACTTTTCCAAGACTCACTTCCTCATCTATAAAATAGAGATATAAGAGTACAAAATTTGTCTTGAGAAACAAATGCAGATAAAATAAATAAAATGCCTGGCATGAATTATGCCTCAATAGATGTTAGTTATTATAGTAATAGTATTTTTATTTATTAAGAAATGATACAGGGACTTCCCTGGTGGCTCAAGTGGTTAAGAATCTGCTGACACGGGTTTGAGCCCCGGTCCAGGAAGATCCCACATGCCGCGGAGCAACTAAGCCCGTGCGCCACAACTACTGAGCCTGCGCTCTAGAGCCCGCAAGCCACAACTCCCGAAGCCCACATGCCTAGAGCCCGTGCGCTACAACAAAAGAAGCCACCGCAGTGAGAAGCCCGTGCACTGCAACAAAGAGTAGCCCCCGCTCGCCGCAACTAGAGAAAGCCACCGCACAACAACGAAGACCCAAGGCAGCCAAACATAAATAAATAAATAAATTCATTAAAGAAAAAAAAAGAAAAGAAAGAAATGATACAGGTTGTATACCCTTTGATTGGGTTAGTATTGATCCGAGAAAATGTAAAGAGGTTTACAAAAGAACGATTACAGAAAATGGACCTTTAGCAGAATAAATCTTTTCACCCGAAATAGGAAATGAAAAAATCCCAATTTTGAACTTGTCTCTTTGAAGAAACTTCAGATCCTTCCAACTGTAAAATCTGTATAAGAGGACGAAAGCACAGCCTTTTCTATTCATTTGAACATATATTCTTTTAAGTTGTGCATTTCGAAGGCCTTCATAACAAGAAACATGTTGCAATTAGCCAGGGCAATTACCACTCACTTATTTAAACTTAATATAGTGCTATGAGAACATTTTATAACAAATCTCCAGTGTAAATTAAAAATTAAGATCAGTCCTAGTTAGTTATAAGAACTAATAAACTTCATATTCAGTGTTTTAGCAGGAAAAGAGCAAAAATAGATATGGAAATATCACTGTATAAGTATTAGAGTTCTGAGTAAAAGCTAAAAGCTTACATTTTAAAAGTTATCATTGCAAAGACATTTTGCTAATCACTTCATACAGTTTTACCATTGCAGAGAGATATTAAAATGTATATTTTTTTCTGCAAATATTCATTTGTCATATGTAAAATATTAATGTCTTGGGAGCTGAATTTTGAGAATACTGAGTATTTATATCTTTTACTACCAATAAATTCTGGTACCAGAAATAAAATAAACAAACTCTAAAAGAAACATAACATAGTCTCTTTCTGTCTAATAAATATATAATGGAATCCAAGCCTTATCCCTAAAATGGACCAGCCTTTATTAAGTTGGAACTTTTTGCTTAATTTTTCTGACTAGGTCTTGGCATTGCTAATGGCAGTGCCAAGCTTTATAAATTGAATTTTTTATATAACATGACAGATTCCCTAGGAATGTAAACTGTAGTCATAGACATGGGTCTATAATTCACATATTATTCTATTTTTTAAGATAAAAATCATAGACATATGATTCCACTTTCTAACGCAATGGACTCCAACTTCTGAGTGATACATATTCTCACAGAGTAATGGACCTTCTGACTGGCCTCCAGCACTTCCTTTATTACAACTTCTCACGTACAGAAGAAAAAAATGTTTCTAGCTTGCTCCTGTTAAACTGATAGAAATTACCATTGCTCTATTATCTAAGTATTTATTTTGTGTCTTCTCAAAAGGATAAACTCCAGTGGCAAACAAACATTTAAAACACACAACATCCACATTTGAAGATGTCATTTGCAGCTGAAACCTCTAAATAAAAACTTTACTTGTAGATTATTTAAAATTTAGAACTTTTAAAGGTGGGGAGGGGGATAAATTAGGAGTTTGGGATTAACATATACACACTACTCTATATAAAATAGATAAACAAGGACCTACAGTACAGCACAGGGAACTATACTCAATATCTTGTAATAACCTATAAGGGGAAAGAATCTGAAAAAGATATATAGAGATAGATATATATATACAGATATATTTGCTGTACACACCTGAAACTAACACAACATTGTAGATCCACTATATTTAAATAAATTTTTTTTAAACTTTAGAACTTTTGCTGTTTGCATTTTGAAGCAGTTCACAGAAAAAATAGACATATATGACGCTAGCCTACTGAATTTGAGAACTCTAAATTTTAACTACATTGTCTAGTAAATGGCGACTGATCAAGTTTCCGTTGGAGAAACTGATGCACGTTGTTTGAATGAGTAATGAGAGAAATGAAAGCAAGTTTTCTTTCTTTCTGGAGCTCGTAGCTCATGATTCCTAATCCCCCTGTTTTTCATTAGTAAGTAAAGAGATATAAGTAAACAATGTAAGTTAGAAACTATTGCTTCATTCTAAAATTCACTTCTTTTAATATGTTAATGGCAAGGTACTATATAATAATGTAAAGACTTATTGCTAATTTTGTGTGTAGAAGGATGAACACAAGACGAATGTGAGTTGAATGGGAAACAATTGATGATGTATTGTTGAGATATTTAAACTCAATCAGGAGAGTGAAGATATAGAGAACCAAGCCAGCTTAGAGGCAGTGTGTGACTAATGTAATAAACTGATGCAAATTCAATAAAAGTTTTGTTTATTACCTTTTCTTGAATTTTTTCTAGATCCCAGCAATTATTAGACTATATATCTTTAAAAAATAAAACCTATCGAGTTATTCTACAAATGTTAATTGCATAAGTCTATATTTCAATATCTTCTTACATAATTCATATATGAACATGTGAACACTTATGTACAAGAAAAGATAATGATTGAATTTCATTGTTGTTGTTATCAATTCCTGATAAAAGCAGTATAAACATTTGAGAAATTCAAAGTAAATGCACTTCAGTGAAAGGCAAGGACAAATTTTACCATGAAAAATATTCATATGCAATATTATATATCTCATATCAATGTCTTATTCCATAAAAATAGCTATGTTGGGCTTTGTATGTAAATATTTAGAACAACTACATTTGCATGACTCCATTTTTGTCCTAAGGATTGAATGCAAATTGCTTGTTTAAAGATGTTTATTTAAGTTCAACTGTAACAAACATATAATTTGGGGTCAAAAGTATCAAGCAATGAATTTCACATATTATACAGAGAACAATCCATGTTGCAAAATCGTAAACACCATATGAAGATAACAAGATAGGTTTTCCTGAAATTTTAAATTAGATTAAATAAGCTTGAGATATTGTACTAAATGCTAGCATATGGAATATAAGATTTCCAAATGTTAATTTAGTTAACTTTCTTATAGTAACTATACACACCTACTATTTTATGTCTATTTCTAGAAGTAACATAGTAAATTATAAGATATATTTCAGTAGAACAAGGAGGCCATCTTGAGGTCATTCTAGAAATGTACATGTTATTCTTACACAGAGCTCACACACAATTTATGATTTAAAAAAATACAACCTTTGAGCAAAGTTAATATTTTCCGTATAAAATGTTATGTTTCTTAAAAAAAAAAAAAACCAAAAAAGCAAAGTTTCTCAAGAGCATTTAGATTTACTTGAAATCATCCTCTTTCTCTCTCTCTCTTTCTCTGCCTCTTTGCTTCTGTCTGCCTGTCTGCCTCTCACACACACGCACATGCACACACACACACACAGACTACAAAGAAGTTGTTTTCTGCTGAATGATGGATAAAATTTAAAATAAGTATAAGACTGTACAAAATGCTTCAGCTAAACTGTCTTAAATATTTTTCTACAGTTGTAAAATAGAAACTTCCCACAAATATTTGTCCATGCCCTTCATTAATCCATTGTATATCTATTTTGCCTTTCTAGTTCTAGAAAAATAGAAATAACATTTAATGTGAGGTTTTGGGTTGCCCCATGTTTGCCTTTTCCTATGCACTTTGAGTTAAAACTGGACTCGCTGGACCATTGGCAGAATGTCCTGGCCCCTCAGGGCCACTTGTGGGTTTAGAACTTTCATCCTCTTTATTTCCTTCAGGAGTCTTATCCAGGGCACCAGGTGGATTCACACAGTTAGCATCCTGCTTCGCTTTGTCCACTTCATTATCAAATTCAATTTTATCTTCTTGTTGGTTGTTTTTCTTCACCTGCCCATTCTGGGCAGGGCAGATGCTAGCAATGACGTCATACAGGAATTGATATTGCTCCTAATAAAGGGAAGAAGGAAGGAATTACATAAAAGAGGTTTATGTCATTATTTTTACATCAGATGAAAATTAGCAAGACTTAATCATTTACTTGGGGAAGACCTGGGTATCAGAAAACAATTCTCATGTGTTTTCATAAAAAAGAACATTTTAAATGGTTCACCCTCCTTACAGTTCTAAAGGACTGACTGCAGGGCAATCTTCAGAATTTGCCTTGTAGCCACACCAGACTGGTGTTCGGCCCCCTTGCAGGCTGTGTGGGGTGTCTCATTCCTAAGCTTTTGCAAAGGAAGCCATATTTGGTGCCCACCCTCTTGGTTCATGCCTACATATCATTTAGCATCAGATCAGGAGTCACCTGCTTCAGGAAGCCAATCTGATCCCCTTGGGTTAAATTCAGTGCCCTCATTCATATTCTTCTAATAGTTTCTCTGTCATTTCACTTACTACATTGTTTAATAAATGTCTGCCTCTTCCTCACACTAAACAATGAGTCTCTTAATGGCAAAACACGTAGCAGTCACTCAATATATTTTTAACATCAATACATGTAAGCTCAAGGTCATACATAAGTAAAAGCTGCCTATATTTGAGTGAGTAGTTAAGTTTACTTTGTTACTAATTCCCAGACCATCATCTGTGGTCACTACCACTTACAGAGGACACAGCTTAGATTGATTATGGCAATGCTCACTCATTATCCTCTCTGTATCCACACCTCTTTGCAAGGTGACTTTGCAGGCCCTTTGGACAAAGGTTGGGTCTATGACTCCATGCCTTACACCTGAGCTGGCCTTGTGACTTGTTCAGATAATAAAATACAGAGGAAGGCATGTTCCAGTCCCAAGCCTGGGATCCAAGGGGTCTCACTCTGCCCCTAGGAACCCTGCTGCCTTTATGGGAATGTGTCGGGCTAGGCTTCTGGATGAGGAGAGACACGGGATCCACTCATCCCTATTGCCACAGCTAAATGCCAGCCGGCTGGCAGTCAAGGTCCTTTTGGACAAAGTCAAATCGCAGTGGACACATCAGTGGCAGCACACATATCCGTGAGCCTGGTCCAGGCTGGCTCAGCCTAATGTGATCAGCAGAAATCTTCAGCTGATCAAACATATTATTGAATTATAATAAACGTTTTTTTTTTTTCAGTTTCTAAATTTTGGGGTGGTTTGCTACACAGCAACACAAATGGATACAGGATTAAAGGTGGGGGAACTGAGGGAATCCATGAGCTTTTAAAAGCATGTTCTTCAAGAACCACCACCGCAAAGTGTTGGCAAACTCCAATTAGGTCTCTTATTTATACTAATAAAAATTCAATGTGAATTATCATGTAAAATGGAATTTAAAAGAGAAGACTAGAAAAGTAAATAGAAAAGAAGTAATGGAAAGGAGAGGATCAGAAGAGGGGGAGGGGAGGGAAGGGAAGGAGAGAGAAGAAATCGTCAAAATAAAAATGCAAAACATGTTAAAAGCAATGATGACAGGGCTTCCCTGGTGGCGCAGTGGTTGAGAGTCCGCCTGCCGATGCAGGCGACACGGGTTCGCGCCCCGGTCCGGGAAGATCCCACATGCCGCGGAGCGGCTGGGCCCGTGAGCCATGGCCGCTGAGACTGTGCGTCCGGAGCCTGTGCTCCACAACGGGAGAGGCCACAACAGTGAGAGGCCCGCGTACAGCAAAAAAAAAAAAAAAAAAAAAAACAACGATGAGGTATACTTACAAATGTGGGAACCATTCCCGGCCTAGCTTTGCGTAGAGATTTTACTGCTTGAAAAACATCTATCACTTCTTCTGTTTCTGCACTTTCCAAGAGATTTAACAAAGCACAAAATACTCCTGTTTGCTGAGATCCATCTCTAAAAAAGAAAGAAATAGATTTTTAAAAATTCTACATTATATGGAGAAAGTGACATTGGAATAAAAATTGAAAGAGAGAGACAAGAATACATGCTTCCACTTCATGTTTACTGTAATTATTTTATTCCAATATCTTAAGAGCAAAGCTTTTCTGCTAAGTGCATGTTTTATGCAAACTTTTTCAATTTGGGAATATAATAGTCATTTAGTTTAAAAAAATATTTGTTGTAAGCTTTAAAAATATACTTTCTTCTATTAGTACTTTACCAATTATAATGCACTTTAATTTACATCTGAAGTTGTTAAGACAAATATCATAATATCCGCCAGACAGATGAGGATACTGAGATTTAGGGAAGATAAAGTCATGGCTAGAAACTGATGAAACCAGAAATACTGGACCTGGTATTTTGTAAATTACTAAACCACATGCTTTTTCTCCTCTCTTCTGCCTCTCCAGTGCTTTTTACAAATGTTAACACTTCTGCACCAATAGAAAAATGATACCTAGTGAAGTTATTTATTAAAAAGAGGGCAACCAGATTACTTACCAAACTGTGAGAGGTATGTTAGATTATAATAAAAATTCAATTTAAAGAATATGTTAATAGCAGAACTTTATTTCTTGTACATAACAAGGAACATATAGTAGGTATTCAGCCATTCCCTAAGAAACACATACAGTTTTAAAGCCTAAACTTCCCGTCTTATTTTTCTTTCCATATAAGTTTTACCTTTGAACCCTCAAATAAATGCCAAAAAGTAATATCTGTCTAAGGTCCTGATTATAGCATATACAATTCTAATAATAATAATGAAGGTTCTCAAAAATTCTAAAAGCCCTTTGCTAGATTTACATTTCTCATTTTACTTTACTATTTTTCATTTCTAATTTACTTTACCATTTTTTATGCAAACATTTTATATCACACACCCTTCTTTCAATATCTCTTATTTAAGGTGGATATCTATCACAGATGAAAGTAAGGGTCTGCATAACAGAAGTTAATCAAATCAAGTATTATTATGGATATTATTAAAATCTTTGCCTTTGGGTCCATTTAGAGAGTCAGGTGATGGGTTTCAAATCGAAGCTGCTAAACATTGAGATTTCAGTTTAATAAATAGCTTAAGATATGTTTATTGGAGGCAAAGCATTCAGTCTTCTGGATTTTACTGACGCCTAATAGCGTGGCTCAATGCACTTAGGCAGAAATAAAATGCAACATCCATCCATCCGTCTGTCCTTGCATCCTTCCATTCATTCAGGACATGTGACATTTCAGGTTCACAGCCTAACAACATTGCACTAAAATATAATTATTTCTACTGTATTTCTATAATAGTTATGCTGTGGGAGCACATGGGAGAGAGTGCCCGACTCCCTAAGAGGCTTCCACTGCAGTCATGCATTTTTATCTGTTAGGAGAAATAGAATTTAACAGAAGGTGCAAACCAAGAGGTCAAGAAGGATGCTGATTTTTAGAGCACATCCCATCAAATCCCACCCACCTGCAGTGAATGAGGAGAGGCACATTCCTGTGAAACTTATTCCCTTCAGTGGAATTCTTCTTGGGAAGTTTCTGTTTGAGATTCTGAATCATTAAGATTAATTCTTTGGGCTCCACGGGCAGCTCTTCCCCATTCCAGTTATTGAATTGGTACTGGAACACAGTTCGTGGATCTTTCCTCTAAAACCAGAAGGGAAGGGAACATAAACTCGAGTGAAGCTCAGCCCATCTGATAAGTTGACAGTCATGTTTTCCTCACAGTTACTTTCATTTAAATCATTTAACATTTTTATTCTGAGAACATTATAGAGAGAGTTGCTTTGTGTTCATAGAATGGTTTATATTAGTTTTTCAACCAGATCAATTACCCCAAAGATACATACTCCTGAAATTGTTTGTATACCTTAGAATGTCTCAGTTCAAATGCACGGATGGTATAGGCTGAAGATTTATTGGTGTCCTTCATATGAACTTCTACGTCTCCATATGTTTGCTTTCCTTCCTCCCAGTACTGAGAACAGGCTTCCTAGAGAAGAAAGAACATGATTCAACATCATCTACCCAAGGGTTCTGTTTGTTTTTAAATGCACTCAGAGTACCTCTCTCTGTCTTTGCTCTATCCCTGTCCTTTTTCTCTTTTCTTCCCTCTGTTCTATTAAATTTGAAATTACAACTTGTGCTCTAAAATTGAATCTTAATCATAAAGATCTAAAATCTATTTGAAGTATGTTGGACATCCATTCAACAAATACATGGTGTTGCCTTGTGCAAATCAAGGGAACCTAGGGATAGCCGAGGTGGCCAGGACACCACAGGAACGGCTCTGCCATCCCTGGTGTAGATCTCAGATTTGTTTTTCCCTTCCTTCCATGCCCTCACCATCACCTTTTCAAAATGGATGGATTGACCTGACGTTGTTCATGACCCCTGCAACAACTTAAGTCTCTCTGTTCCTCCAGAGGTCCTTGGGTAAGGAGGTTACACCTCTTGGAGCTTTGTCTCTATCTTGTCTATATCAGTTGATTGAATATCCAAGGAAAGGGTCAGATTGAAGAACAGGTGGATCACAAAGGTATTTCCTCCTTCCTCAAATGGTTTCCCACCAACTACAGTCCCACAGTTGCTGACCATGATAGGTATTCCTGCCCACACTCCCGTTCCATTTCCTGACATTCCCAATTTAGATGAAGGAAAAGATTGCTAGAATTCCACATTGAAAATCTGAACATAGATTTCTTTTTTAAAAAAGAAAAAACAGAAAGATTAAAAAAAAACAATTTTCTATGTACAAGGGTACATAGGGAAAAGAGAGAGAGAAGAAGAAGGCATATAGTGTAATGCGTACTTATGAGAATATTTATTAAATAAGCTTTAACATATGTCAGATAATGTGTTAGGTGCTAAAACTAAGATGTACTGCCAGGTAAATTTTGATAACTTGAGGTATTCGGAAAGGCTCAAATACATGTAACAGGCATTAGGCAGAAGATCAAATTAGATCTCAGGTTCATCTCCAACTATAGAATTGTATGACAATAAATATTACATGGATATAAAGAAGACAGGATTTAGAAACATCTTCCAGAGTTTTATCGTTCTAGAAGAATGGGATCAAAATGGGAAGAGAAGGCACATTTAGATACATGGAATGTCAGAAAATCAAGTCAATGATGAAAGCACAAACGATGTGTGAAGATTCAGTCAGTAAATCTACTTGCCCAAGGTGGAAAGTATGGAAAACATAAACATATGAGGAAAATGGAAAGATACATAGGGCTCGATTATTGAGGGTCATAAATATCAGACTGAGGAGTTTGGTTTCTATCCTGATAAAAAAAAAAAGGAAAATGTGACTGTTTGTTGTTTTTAGCAGAGGGTGGCACTGGGATTGCTGTGCCTTATATGATCTGTGAACAGTAGGCAGGGCTAGTGAGGGGCAAACAGGAGAGAGGGTCAGAACCCGAATGCAAAACTTTGGAGGCCAGCGCTTGGATGGAAAACGGGGAGAATGAACAAATGGAATTGTGTGACAGAGGGATCAAAAGGACTCAGGTATAGCAATCAAGTAAGTAATCCAAGAATGAAGAATCAGATTTTAGGACAGAAAGACTTAAAAGCTTCTTAAAAGTACAAACCTGGTCTCCATTCTTTAGCTCTGTCAGCATAACAATCACCTTGACTTTTCTTTGGAATATCATTTGCCAAAAGTCACCAATGGTCTCTTTCAGTGGTCCCTGAGCTGCAATCATCACTTCAGGTTTCCAATAACTCTTTAAAAAAAATAAAGGTGAGACTTAGTTACTAGTGCTGGAGAGCGAACAGTGCGTGTTTAAAGTAACCATTTGAAAGTACAGTCACTTAATTTGATATCAATGCTGTTACCTAATATTAAGATGCTTAGGTCCAATCCTGTGATAAACCATAGTGGAAAAGCATATAAAAAAAGATTATATATATATCTGAATCACTTTGCTGTACAGCAGAAATTAACATGACATGGTAAAGCAACTATACTTTAATTTTTAAAAAGTGAGAAAAAAAAGATTCTTAGGTCCAAAAAACAATGTGATATGTATATATAAGATATTTACTTAGTTAATGATAATACCTGACTAACAGTGTGAAATCAAGTTTAGAAGATATTATTTTAGGAAACTAACAATTTTTCCTTCCCAAAATACCATTTTTTCTACTGGAAGGCTTAATGTGATGGTAAAAAGAAAAAAAAGCATAAGCATTTCAAGTTATCTTCATCATGTCTCTAATTTATGTTTATATATTCTGCTATCTTATAATTAATATTCTATGAATACATATCAATATTTTAAGAAAACTGGGAAAAGAAATAAATTCAACTTAGTGTACATGCAAAAAGTATTTACTGAATTACTAAAAGTTCCTTGTTTGAATTCTCAGTGTATCCAAAATAAAGGTATGTGACACAGACTCATTTAAATATTCAGAAAATCGGAATGAAAAGCCTTTAACTATAAAAATATGCAAATTTAGGTTTGCTTACAATTTGGGTATATGAGTAAGTATAAACATTTTCAAATACTTGCTTTTGCTGAAATGTCATTATTTTTCAAATTATATTATAGTCATGTTTGTCATAAACTGTAACTAATAGCATTGTTTTGTTCTGTATCGACTCATTAGGTTTTAACATCTGAGTGTTGCAATAAGTTAAGATATAGCATTAAAAGTGGAAACTCTCATGTCAATCAATACATAGTTATGGTCAAGCTCATCATTCTTTTATAGAATCACTTAATCCATGGCCATAATAACATACATATAGTTTTTAGAGTCGGACCTTGGGTTTTGGAAGCATAAGGACCTACCATTACAAAGGAGGCATTGATGTATTTGCCCATCTCTTCCGAGTCACTGTCATCGTCGGAGGACTCATCTGAGTCGTGCTCACTCTCCTTGCTCATCTCCAGTTCATGTTTAAGTGTCACTCTGTTAAAGTCATCTATGCAAAACAAAGTAGCAGTCAGTCTTCCTTTAAAGGCCCCTAATCTCTGCTTGATCATCATGTGGAAATTAGAAAGTCACTTAGAAGTGACAGATTACATGATGTACATGTATTGATCTACAAGGAATGAGATCCTGCTCCATTTTTATTGATTAACAAATTATTTTTTAAAAGTCTAATAGAAAGAAGATTCCAAGAAAGTTCCAGGAAAAAATATAGACCATAACTCTATGTCATAATGTTCCATACGATTATGCAATCTTTGATATATATACTTTAGTTTTCCATGGAATATCATCATGCTGATGGATAAAAGTTTTAAAAATACATATATGTTAATAAAATACATAGCTTAAGTAAAAACCTGATTTCTCAATTATATCATATTAACATTCAATTAACAATCTTAATTCAATGGGTATCTCAGATAATTTTTTCAACAAGAAAAGTATTTAGTCCATAATTTCTCACTGTTTCTCAATTTCTTTCATTTATAATAACCTGATCAAATGATCTGATTAGCTACAGCACCATCAATTCCATATTTTAAACTATATTCATAAGGACCTCTTCAGTAATTAACTAGGTCAGCCATGCATTGACCTGATTTATTTGGTTGTCCAGCTTATTACCTTGGGTTATATTTTCTCCGTGCTAGTTTTAGTGTAGGCAACTGAATAAAATTATAGTTGTACCAGGTGTGGTCCTATCAATATACTTAAGTAGCAAAATTCAAGTCTTGAAAATGATGCTTATTTTGATCTGTTAAATTTGATGATTTACAGTATATTTCCCATCTACTTTTAACCTCCTTGGTGTAAGGAAGGGATAAACAGAAAATGTAAAGGGAACAAAAGGATGTAATTTTGCTATTTGGCTATTACCCTGGAGTAAATAACTGCAATAAACTGAAGATGAGAGAAAACTGGTAAAGAGGACTTGGCTTTTTTCCCCCAGCTTCAGAGGTTACGTCTTTCTGAAAACCCATTTCTGAACTAATTGGTACAAAGAAAACATGGAATGTTGTCTGTCCTCCGAAGTCCATTGTAAATGTTTGGGGTTCAATGTATTTGCTACAACTAAAATTCAAATAGCCTATAACTATTCTCTACTGTCAAGCAAATGTTGAAAACTTGCTTCCAAATGGTTTGTGTGTGTCTCACATTAAACAAATTCAAAAGAGAGCTTCACTTTGTCTGATACAAAAAATAAAATAAGCTGCATACATGGAATGACGTTAGAATTCCTGTTTTTACTCCTATTTTCTTCTTGATTCCCAATGTGCTGTGTCCTCCAGCTCCTATATGAAGGAAGTCTCTGAGGGAAAAAAAAAAAGAAAAAACAGAAAGGAAACTCCTTTAAAAATTTATGTATTGGCTTAGTTTATTATTGTAGCGTAAGATGCTCCCTAAGAAAAGAATTTCACCAGGTTTTGTGAAATGTGCATACGTTCCCTAAGGGCACAATTTTTAAGTTTGCCTCTGAATTTTTCTTTATAATTGCTCAGGTATTAAGTACTTTGACGTGGCGAATTTGAACATATACAATTATATAACAGAATATGTTTCCCGGTTAAGAGGTGCTGGATAGCAAAATAGTATGGTTTATTCTTGTATAAGTTGAAAGCAATGCATAGATGTTGATTATTCTCCATATTGCAAAAGCAATGGTAAATTATTTTAAATGATCCAAAGTAAATTCTCTAGACGAAGCATTTGCCGAAGACTAGGCTCACGTTTCAAATAATCAATACCTCATTTCTTTAAGCCCTCCAGACTCTTTCCCTCTCCCTCTCGATAGCTAATCAATCAGTCGGCAAGGCCTATCATTTCTCCGGGTGGAGCTCTCAAATCCTTCCGCTTTTCTCTCTTCCTACTTAGTCCAATCTGCTTTCACTTCTTACTTGAAAACATCAGCAGTTTTTTCACTAGCCTCATTATCTTCAATCTCACTTGCTCTAATCCTTCTAAAACACAAAACAGAGCGGGTCCCCCCTCAGGTTTTTGGCAGCTTCCCATCTTTGTTAGGAAGGATTCAGCATGTGTACAGCACAGAAAGCCTGTCAGGAGATGCCCTTGACTGTTTCTGCAGCCTCACCTCCTGCTGGGACCCCCTGCACTGCAGCCAAGCCTACTTCCCCCAGTCTTGGAAGGGGCTAAGCTGTCCTTTAACTCTTAGCAAATTCTCAGGTGTGTTTTCTACCTGGACTCTCCTTGTCCCTTTTTCTCACTCTGCTAACCTCTACTTGCCCTTTAGATATCTGTTTACAGGTCAATCTCTACCGGAAGATCTCCCTGCCTGCAGCCTTTTCTTCTCAATAAATAACTTAAATAAATATTTGTCAAGTGGATGAATAACCTAAACTGAGAGAGCTCATCATACAAAGTTCAGGAAGATTATACACACACATTATACACATATATGTTTGTGTATATATAGGTATGTGTGAATATGTATTATATATAAATGTTTCAAAAACTATGGTGCCTTCTTTCAAACTAAATATGGAACCTTGTTTTAAATCCACTCCAGCCTCTTCATTTCTTAACCTCTTCACCTCCTATAATTTTCCTCCTCTCTTCAGCCATCCACATTCCCCACTCCACTTTTGTAGGTAGGTTTCATTCCAAAGATTGCATCACTTTAAAAGTTATGACTTCAACCATCCTTCCTATGGAAAATTACCTCTATTCTTCCCAGTCATTTATTTTAGTACCTCCAATCCAGCAATCTGCAATCCTATCAAAACCTTTATCATATTGTTTTTACTCCTTTCTTTTTTTCCCTCATGTCTTTCTGTGGCCAATATGCTCTTTATTACCCACACTGTATCATTCATTTGCAAACACCCTTAGTGTCTTTGCCTCCCAACTTTCAATTATTCACTTTAAAAAATTCTAGATGGGTTTAACCCAACTATACACAGCTCTAACCCCAATGTTACTGTAGGAAACAAAAACAAAACAAAACAAAAAACCGACTGGTTCTCTTTAATTTCATGACCATAAATTTCAAATGATCCGATAATTCTGGCACCCCTACCACCTTTGCCTGGGAGATTGCTTTCCTACTTTGATAGAACTATTTCATATGCTTTTCTCTTTCTCAAGCATAAGCCCTTCTTTGCCCTACTCACTTCTGTCCCCCTAAACTCCCAACCAATGATCTTACTTCGTATTCTCTTGAGAAAAATAAGGCAATTAGACAAGAACTGCCTCAACTTCCCGTCACTAATCTACCAACCAACCTCCATCTCTACCCTCATTTTCTGTCTCCCTTTCTGCTTAGATGGAATAATTTCACTGTTTCTATGAGAGCTGTGGTCACTACCTGTCTGGATCACACCCACTCCCCATGTCCACATACAAATCACTTTGATTCTTGTGCCTAGAATTGTACTCAGTACAGAGCACAGACTCAATCATATTTGTTCAGCCAAAGAATTTACCCTTTTTTTTAAGTGACTTTACATATGAATGTTTAAATTAAATGTATAAGTGTTTTAAACAGTGTCTGTCTATATGCAGTATAGTGGGGTTAGTGTATCAAAGGTGGTCAATTTATCAGCTAAAAGGGCAAGAATAAGAAAACACCCCTCTATCAAAGACCATGCCGGTAGCCTACTAGCTGTTCCATCACGGTGATTATCTCAAGCCCCACTCCCACCCCAGCCCCACTCTGATCCAAAACATTAAATGATTCTGCATCTGATTAAAAGCACATTCCTGGTCTTGCTGTGAAACTCTCTGAATTGACCAGTTTGGTAGTTTACGGAAAGATTCAATAAACTGAAAATCATAGGTGAAAGAGAAAAGTTACAAAACATTTTTTTGACAACTGAGCGATTTGGAGATAGCTATGCCAACTCTCTGAAATCACAGTGAGCTACATCCTAGGTTAGTTTTCAGAGTAACTGCCTGATAAATAGCTTAGAACACACATATTTATCCTTTAGTTTCTGTCTACCAGCTCCAGCCAGTTCATGTTCCTAAGTAGTCATAAACTCCTCTAACTATTTCCTTTACAAACCAAAACCAGATGTAGTTTTTAAAGGTGAGATGCTACATTGCCTTTGGCGGGCCAATTTTGTGGCCATATGCTATTATTCTGACACTTTATTTGATACCAGCTTAATGAAAAATGGTTAAAATGTTGGCTGTAGAATCAGATTTCTTGGTTTAAACAAGTTTCCTACGGAATAGCTGTGTGCTTTCAGGCATTTCTCTTACACTCTGCGTGTCTTTGCTCTCTCATCTGTGCCCCATTTTATGGCAAAGCCCAAATACAAGAACTATGTCAAGTACATAGGACAGCACTGGAAAAGAGACAGAGGTTCAAGTTATCTGTAATGGTGCTCTTGTTCTCACTATTGTTACCTGGAATTCAGCCTCCAGTGGGGAAGGCTCACTGGGTGGATCTCTTTTCTTCATGTTAGACAGATATGGATGTAACTCAGACAAGCTCACTTCTGTTTCCCCAAACTGATTGTATTCCACCAAGGCCTGATGGATCAAGATGTACTGTGCCTACAATTTCAGGGAAGAATATAGATAATTAATTGATAACTTAAAGTCCTATCAATCACATTTAAATAAATCCTACATTCCCATAATTTTGCTCATATGGAGACAATGTACGGAGAAGAAAACTGATATCTGTAACATTTAAATAATCTGGAAGTTAGCTCTCATGGTTCTATGGGATATAAGCAAATTCCATCTCAGATTTTTTTTTCCAGAAAAAAAAAATAGCTTGGTAAATAGATGAGGCATCTACAAGGTAGGGCATAACTTATATCTCATTCCTAACAGTTATAAAACATTATCTGTTACTTCCTTCTGTGACTAGTATTGAGTCAGTAAGTTAAATTACTAATATATAAAACTATAATAAGTTTCACACTATATCTGAGAAAGGAAAAAGCAGGTTGATATTCCATAGAACATACTTTTTAAAAGAGTTTCCTAGAAGCTTTTAATAGAGAAAATTATTCTATAAAGCACAATAGGCCAAACCCATATTTAACAACCCTAACCTTTTATCATATTTGAATCCACCATTTTTAAATAAATGACATATTTCTGATAAAATTCAAGCCTCTTTAACACCACCTCTAGTCCCCTGAGTTTGGCTGTAGCATCCTTCCACTCTATTGTGTTTTTCCACAGGAAATAATTTCTTTTTTTTTTCTCGTGTACAATCTGTTTTTATACTTCTACACTAATATCTATGTGTTTATAACATTGTACATTTTTGTCTCCTTTCTTAACAATGACATAAATTGAATTGTATACGTTTCATCTGGTGACTATATTCACTCATTGTTTTCATCTGAGCATCTACCTACACAGAGAGCTACAGACCTAGATTATCCTGTCAATCGCAGCAGAGCATGTGTTTACAAAGGGTCCATATGTCCACATTCTGTTTGCTCATTCCCATATTGATATATATTTAAGGTTTTCCATGTTTTTGTTATTCTAACAATGCTGAACACAATGAACATTCTTGAACATGTTTCTAGTTGCACACATTTGCAAATGCTTCTCTCGGTTATATACATACATGTAGAATTGCTGGGTCAAATGCAGACAATTTTGATAATAACCATTGTTTACAATTACTGACTACATGCATCTTCCAGGGGCTTGTCTAAGTGCTTACTTGGGTTACCCTTTGTGTCTTAACTCTGTAAGGTAAATACTATCATTATCTCCATTTTACATATGACTTAACTGAGGCACAGGGACATTAAACACTGGTAAAATGGTGCACAGTATTAAGAATAACAAGCACGATTTGAAACTACTACATCTAGTTCCCAAAACCAGGCTCTTAACCACTGTACCATCCTATTCTTGTCTCCCCAGTTTTAATTTTATGAGATGCTGCCAAACTGGGTTTTGGTATTTTAAAATTTTTCCCAATCTGATATGTGTAAGTGGTATTTCATTATTATTATTTTTTTATTTTTTATTTTTTTGCGATACGTGGGCCTCTCACTGTTGTGGCCTCTCCCATTGCGGAGCACAGGCTCTGGATGCACAGGCTCAGTGGCCATGGCTCACGGGCCCAGCCGCTCTGCGGCATGTGGGATCTTCCCGGACCGGGGCACGAACCCGTGTCCCCTGCATCGGCAGGCGGACTCTCAACCACTGAGCCACCAGGGAAGCCCCTCATTATTTTTTTTAAATACATTTTATAGTCATCCTCCTTCCACAGTACTCTCAGCCACTAATGCAAAATGCTTCTAACTGCAATTGGTGCTTTATTTTTCAGGAAATTAAAAGAAAACAATTTTCACCCACTGTTCGAGGTTGAGAAGAATTTGGATTTCCTTTAAGATCTCTACTCCCACCACAAAAAGATTTAAGCCAAAAGGCATAAGTGAGGATAGTGACTGTGGCCTGGAACATACCTCCACCTGAACCATCAGGCACCTCTGTCGCCTTAGCTTGACGACATAGCCATAGACATCCACCTTGCTCTCTGCCTCCAGGCCTTCTAACATGGCATCAATTCCAATATAGGTGCCTGTGCGTCCAACACCAGCACTGACAAAACAAATGAAAAGGTTGAAGGTATGATCGATCACGGCAGGAAAATGAATGGAAAAGCCAGCAAGGGTGAAGCAGGGAAAACAATGTCAGTTTCTCCTCATAGATTGTTTCTCAAAGTAGCAATTGCCAAAGGGGAGGGTGGCCCTAACACCCCAAGGAGTGAAAATTTGAACAGCCCTTGTGCTTTTGGTGGAGGTCTTTATTTACCTGCAGTGCACCACGACAGGGCCACTGAAGAAGTTGCTGAAAGCGTTCACTCTCCTGCGCAACTTGAGGAGCAGGTGAGGGTCTTCGGGAACCCCATGGTCTGGCCAGCTGGTGAACTGAATGTGGGTCACTGCTCTCCCAGTTGCTTTTTCTTTTCTCTAGCCAGGGGATAATATGTTTTTTTAGATGATTTTTTTCTCAGAGCAAACTATGGGACATAAGTAAGTGGAAGGGAGGAAAAGTACAAAAAACTCCTCGTGCAAGTTATTTTTCATTCATGATTACATTTTCCTTTCCAAATGAATAACTAGGAATTGAGACATCACACAGGACTGGCATGCACCAACCAGTAAGCAATTACTTACCAGGAAGGTAAGTAACATATGGTTAAGTGTAGCTGAAACCACTAGGAACTTTCATGCTGCCAAGCCAAAAACAAACAAACAAACAAAATAAAAACAATAAAACACAAAACAAGGGGATTGGTGGGTGGGTGTGAAAAGATACAAAGTAAAAGCCATTCTCACAGCTGTTTGAAATACTTCTGCTTGGTAGGAAGACAAACAGGATTATTGTCATATGAAGAAAGCTGATTAATTATTTGATTAATGCTATATTTCTCATATTAGAAGTGTCAGCTCGACTGTAGAGAGAGAACTCAGGAGAGTCAGCTCCAGATTACAGCTCATGTTTCTCCCAGTTTCAAGGTAAGCACTAGAAGATACATAATTCATAATTCTCTGACCAAGTATGAAGAAGAACTACCTACACTTAGATAATAGAAGAAACAAACAAACAAACAAACAAACTTGGTTGGTTTTAATTTTCAGATAGGAAATAACTGACTTAATGAAGAATAGTAATGGCAGACTAATCAACATAACCAGAATGGTATTGGCTTCTACATTCTTGGCTTTAGTGCATCACGTCTTTGGCCATGAACCACCGGTGGGATTGTTCCACAGCCTTCCAAGGGCATAGTTGTTAGTGATGCCACAGGGCCTTAGGAGGCCTTGGGAGAAATAGGCAACTGGTATTTTTTTCTTTCACAAAATGTATCTGTATCATATGGAAATACAATTTAGATTACTGAGAAAACCTGCCATAAATGGAATTCAGAGAAAATTTCAACCTTATCTATAAAGACTTCCATTTTTTGACACCTTTATTAAGATATTTTCACATTTCTTTAAAGTGTAAATGTTTTCATTATATTCACAGAGTTGTAAATCATCACCACTGTCTAATTATAGGGCATTTTCATGACCTCCCCAAAAGAAACCCATACAGATTAGCAGTCACCTCTATTCCTGCTCCACCTACCTCAGTCCCAAGCAATCACTAACCAACTTGCTATCTCTATAAATTTGACTATTGTATACTTTTCATATGAGCAGAATCATATAATATGTGAGAAGACCACCATTTTAACTATTATTTAAGGCCACACTGACAATTTTATTTTTGGAACTAAACATTTTATCTCACCTACAGAGTTAGAACTTTAGACTTCTTACAGTAGTCTCTGTGCCATTTGTATATATTTTCCATAATGGTAATAAACCCATTGAGACGAGGGACCATTTTATCATTAATTCAATAATGCAGTCATTCATTTAACACAATTGATGAGCTCTTTATACTTCAAGGGTCACAGTGTTATAAACACTTTTGATGTGATGTGGACAAACACTATTTTCACTAGTGACTTAACTTGACCCTGTTGGCTTGTATTATTGTTCTAACCCAACTCTTCCTCCTGCAGTTCATTAAAAAATAATTTTCCAGATATATTTCAATGTCTCACATTTAATATTCCATAATTATATTTTTAGACAAACAGTATGAAAATTAAAATTATGTCATAAAGCAAACTCACATTTGCAATGGTCAACTTCTGAATGATGTAATCCGGGCATCTTTTGTGCTCATTGATCTCTACAATCACATCTCCAAAAACCCGGCTGCCCTCTTCCATCAATGGCCAGTATAATGCACACTTGTTCTATATTTTAAAAAATCATTAATGATTCCAGTTTTTCATGTAAATGGATTTGTTTATTAAGCATTCTTTGTAAAGCAAAATAAACAAAAATGTATTCTTTGAAAGTCTCAAGACATTTTTATAGTCTCTGGTAAACTGTGATGCTTGGAAAGCATTCCATTTCCCATTAAGTGCCCTGAAGTATTTCCTTCATACGACCCAGCAGAAGAAGGATGATCTTCCCAGGCTTAGCTGCATATTAAATGGGGACGTGCTTGGTGGTCAGCAGAAATGATGTGGTTGCGTGTGGTTAATTTCAGGCTGGGGGATGGGGAGGCTTTCACGCTTCCTAAAGTCACGTTACATGAATTTTCATCTATCTGCCCAAGGTCTGTGTGTTTCAAGTATTAACAAGTACTTGTGAAATCAGCCCACAGAAGTGTACTGAACTTAAAATAATACTGCAACAAACTAGGAATCACATAGGAGTCCAGCAATGAAGCAGAAACATTTAAATGTTATACTTATATACAAATATTTATATATGTGCATATTTAATTTTTCTACAAGTATGAAATTTTAAATCAAGTGTTATACTGATTCAGACGGAGAATGATCTGTTTTGTCATCAAGCACATACATATGTGACTTTTCAAAATGCAATTCAACACTGTCTTTTCCTAACATCCAGCCTCTACCCTGTGAGTCCTGGACCTTCACCCTATGAATCTTCTGGGTCCTTACCTTGTTCCCTTCTTCACATCGAGTGACCATGACAATAACCGTGGCTTTCTGTTCCCAGATCATCCTCCAGAAATCATCAACAGTTTCATCCCTGGGACCTAGGGGGTAAAACAAATAAAAACTGGTAAGAAATATCTCCTTAAAAGTGCAATAAAACAATTTTTCAAAAAGAATGTTGGACTCTCAGAGAAATTACCTTGTGCAGCAATGTATTTCCTGGGTTCTTTGAAACCCTGTTCAAAACACACACAGAGGTATATCATTTACTGAGCGCTCAGTTATATATTTACATGCAATAGTGTGAGATAGGGCAGTTGCCTTAGATCTGCCATTTCTTGGTTGTGTGTTTCCCTGGGCAGTTTCAAATTAAAAGGGGGGTTTTATTAACTCAGTGGCAGTTAACTGTGTCAAATATGTTAGTCAACACTTACAAACAATATTCATGACCTTCATGGGTCTTTGCTATATACCCTAAACAATTTTTAAAGCTAGATAGACTTTATCTTCATGTGGGAAGGTGCAGCAATTTATAAGCATAATACAGGCACTCCTATATTTTAGATCCTGCCAACCTTTATAGCACCATCTGCCAGAATTCAAACCTCCTTACCAGCCATAGAGATACTTTGGGGATTTTTACTCAATTTCTTTCAATAAATCATCCTGAGGTTAGCCCCATACTTCTACCTCTTAACGAGTGCTGGGATATACCGCTGATTCCCTAGAATCCTTTTCTGCCACTCTAGATAAGAGATACAATAACTTTCATTTTATTACCTACAATGTCTGCTTTCTCCACGCTGGTTACCAAGGCAAAGAAGGAATAGAGACAGGTGAGACACTGTGCTAGTTTCTTTCAAATTATCTCCTACTCCTCAGACTTACCTCAGTGATCAGAAAAGCCCTTCAGAGAGATAACCTTTGCCCTTAGATGAAATTCAGTCACGTGGGCCACAATAATCCATGATTAATTTTAGTAACTTCTTGAAACTTCTATCTCATGATATAGTATTATTCATACATTCATTTATTCAACAAGTATTTATTGAGTGGCTACAGTCTGTCAAGTACCTATCTAAAATCTGGAGACATATTTTTTCCATGAGCTCCCAGGTCTGCTGGAGAAAAGTAAGTGTAACTCGATACTATAATTACCATATTTATTTGAACAGAAAATATAAGGTTTTTTTTTCCTAGAGACTGTCTAAATCCTTATAAAATCTGCTCTCAATGACTTTACTTTGAAGAACAAGTTATTGTTTGGAAAAGACACTATACACAAATAAATTTGTTCAACGTTAATTGTGAAGGCCTGCAGTGGTCACCTACAAAATCAGTTAAAATAGAGGCCAAAATTATGACACAGTCTTAGTAATTATTTTTGGACTATGACCTCACATTTGAAAGTGTTAGTTGCCACTGTAAACAAGCCTTTTGAATATCATAAGAACAAGAAATTGCACTGTGGATACCAAGAGCACATATCAGGGCAAGAGGTATGTGTTGCTTGGGAGAGAATTTACAGGGACAACATGAAACAAAAATATAAAAACTCTTTTTTTGTAGTTTTTTTGTTTATTTGTTTTTATTTCTACTGCCTTGGGAGACTGACCTAAGAAAACCTTGGTATGATTTATGTCAGAGAATGTTTTGCCTATGCTCCCTTAAAGGAGTTTTTGATGTCATGTCTTATGTTTAAGTCTTTAAGCCAATTTGAGTTTATTTTTATGTATGATGAGAGGGTGTGTTCTTTTCTTTTTTTTAATACAGCAGGTTCTTATTAGTTATCTATTTTATACATACTAGTGTATATATGTCAATCCCAATCTCCCTACAAAAACTCTTATGCACCAAACAAAGTTGATGGGAAGTAGGACATTGTACAGGTTAGAGGGCTGTCTCCAGACAGAATGCTTGAGAAAAAACATCCTAGCTTTGCTTCTACTATAGCAAAATTGGGAACACCTCAGAGTTGTTGTGAGAGTTCATTGAATCAATATATGTAAAGCACTTAAATTCATGACTGATAAATAGCAAATGTATAATAAATTGTATTATTATACAGTCATCATAATCATTAATGTCAAGAATTTTGCTCTGGAAAATCATCAGCTATCTCACAAAAGGACACAGAAACTGCTTGTTTCATGAACAATTCAAGTAAAAAGTTTTTTTTCATTATTCTATAATTTTACATAAATTGTGTGTAGTGGACTGAATAATGTTCCCCAAAAAACTCATGTCCACTCAGAATCTCAGAATGTCACCTTATTTGGAAATAGGGTCTTTGTGGAAGATGGGGTCATACTGGGTGAAGATGGGCTCTAAATCCAGCGACTGGTGTCTTTTATAAGAGAAAGGACACACAGTGACACAGACACACAGGGAAGAAGGCCATGTGTTGACAGAGGCACAGAACAGGGTGATACAGCTACCAGCCAAGAAACACCAAGGATGGCCAGGAACCACTATAAGCTGGAAGAGGCAAGGAAGGATTTTTTCCCCAGACCCTTCAGAGGAAGCATGTCTCTGCTCACACCTTAATTTCAGACCTCCAGCCTCCAGAACTGTGAGATAACACATCTTTGTTGTTTTAAGTCACTCAGTTTGTGATGTTTTGTTATGTCCACTCTGGGGAATTAATACACTGTCTAAATAAATAAATGAATAGATAGATAGAATTTGAACATTTTACTTTCTTCACTGAAAGTTTGTGAAAGCTTATGTAATCATGTAGATCAGAACAAACAAACCAAACCTCAATTTCAATTGTTTTTTCTTTGAGAAAAATTTGAAATTACCTTATAAACCAGCATGGATGATAGTATGAGACAGTTTGTTAACTGTTTGATTGTCAAAAACAATTTTTGATAGTCACTGTTTTGGCAGTCTGTGTGGAAATAAACACTCATACTTTGCTGGTGGAACATATCTGGGTACAACCCCAGTGGAGGACTATTTGGAAATGTCTTTTAAAATTACAAATGCATATTCCCTTTGAGCCGGCAGTTCTTCTTTGAGGAATTTATCCTACAGATATGCTAAAACTCATTGAGAAGTAATATGAGCCAAGATTATTCATTAAACCATTGTTTGTAATAGTAGATTAGAAACCATATTTAACGCTTGTTACTATAGGAACTGATTAAATACCTCATAATGCAGCTATGCCAAGAATTATTCTAAAAATATTAAAGAAAGATGTAGAAATGTTCGGTGTTCAGAGCCAGCAACCTACAGCCTGTGGGTCAAATCAGCATGGCCTGATTTTGTAAATGCAGTTTGTTTTTCGGAACAGCCACATTATGTATTGTTTATAGAAGTGTAGTCACTGGGCTTCAGAGCTGAGTAGCTGTGGCAGAGATGGTATGTCCGGCAAAACCCCAAATATTTGTTATCTGGTCTCTTACAGAGAAAGCTTGCCAGTCCCTGCTTTTTACAGTGATATTTTATGTATCCAAGATATATGTTTTAAGTAAATGACGCATTATACAGAACAGCGTGAATATTACGTTAACATTTTTGGATAAAGGAGGGGGTAACAAATGTTGGTGTTTTCTTGTTTGTGTATTAAAAAACTCCCGCTGGATAAATAGGAAACAACATAGAGGTTACCTTTTAAGGTAGGTGGAGGCACTGGGTAAATGGTGGATTGGGTGGGAGGAATTATTTTTAAGTCTCTCTGTGTTTTTATACTGCTTTTTTTTTTTTTAATTCGTGTGATGCATTACTTACTGAACAATTGTTTAATAAATTACATTTTTAAACATTTTAGATAAATTAATCATGCACTATATCCTCATACTGTTACTAATTGAAAAAGGGCAGGGACTTCCCTGGTGGCACAGTGGTTAAGAATCTGCCTGCCAGTGCATGGGACACGGGTTCGAGCCCTGGTCCGGGAAGATCCCACATGCCACGGAGCAAATAAGCCCGTGAGCCACAACTACTGAGCCTGTGCTCTAGAACCTGTGAGCCACAACTACTGAGCCCGTGAGCCACAACTACTGAAGCCCACGTGCCTAGAGCCCGTGCTCCACAACAAGAGAAGCCACCGCAGTGAGAAGCCCGCACACCGCAACGAAGAGTAGCCCCCGCTCGCCGCAACTAGAGAAAGCCCGCGTGCAGCAACGAAGACCCAACACGGCCAAAAATAATAAATAAATAAATTTACTAAAAACAAAAATTAATAAATAAATAAATAAGAAAAGGGCAAAAGTACCAAATTAATCAGAGCCTCCCAGTCCTATCTTCTATGGTGAGGGGCAAAGACGGGGCTCTTATGAGAAATACACACATAGATAATTTAGATAATATCCAGCGTATAACAGGTACAAGAGTATTTTAATTCTTAGCTATCATTCTGTTTGGAAAGAAAAAACCTATATTACCTAGCACCAATAACAAATAATAAATAACTATTCTTGCAAATATTAGTGATTTTGTTGTTTGTATCAATGGCATTTATGAGCTTCCTTCAAATCATTTCAAATAATATTTCTAAAAATTTTCCATGAGAGGATATATGTATATGTATAACTGATTCACTTTGCTGTATACCTGAAACTAACACAACAGTGTAAATCAACTATACTCCAATAAAACTTTTTAAAAATAAAAAATTTAAACAAAAATTTGCCATGGCAAAGAAGGAGCTGAATGGAATGCATAGACACCAGAAGAATGAAAATAGAGACAAAATGATGAAGATATAAAACCATCTGGCTGTTATGCACTTTTTACTCACATCAATATAGCTGGCATTGATGTAGTTGGACCCTGCCTCTCCATTTATGTCAGAGAGTTCAACACGGTTATAATCATCTGTTCAAATAAAAGAAATATTAAATAAGTGAAATCATGAATAATCAAGTAGCCCAAATGTATGGAAATCCAGTTCTCAATGAGCACTTACAAGGAAGGATGTCAACGTAGCGGTTTTTATTCTGGTTAAAGGGTTTTCGAGCATCTTTGATAGAAAACTTGCCAAATACCCTCGGAATGCTCTGAAAGACACAAAGATCCTTTGGGTCACATTCAAGAAAAACCATTTCCCCTTGCCACTTATCCTTTCGAACAAATGACACCTCCTGGAACGTATTTCCTTTACACCGATGAACAAGTTGCATATGGTCATAAATGAATATTCTTAGGAATTATGCAAAAAACACTCTTTAAGAAAAATGAATGATAGGCTACTTGGAAAATAAATCCCATGAAAGAGAGCAAATTTAGCAGTTATTGCTCTGCCACTTTAAAATTCACTGAAAAACACACTTGGATGATTACCTAGAGCAAAAGGACAAAATCAGTCAAATACGTTTCGAGATACAGCTTCATAACTAGTATTCATACAATGAAGCAGCATTATCTTGAAATGTTGACTAGTTTTATGACGATGATCTTCTGGTCTGCAAATACCTGCTAATAAAAAGCTGCTTTGACTCCGTTGCACTATTAGGTGGGATAAACTATCGAGGCAAATGGTCATACAATACATTTAAGGTGAATTACGTTGATAACAGAGTAAACTTTCTCATCACGTATCGAGAAGAGCACACACCTGGAATTCAGCCAGGAAGAGCCTCCCTTCATCAGCGATCTTTCTCTTGTAAGTTTCCAACAAAACATCTGCATGGATGGGCTCCACGTTCATCAATTGCTTCTCGTCATCTTTAAACGTAGTAAAGATTCACGACTAGTGTTAATGTCTCTCTTTCCCTTGTTCACGCAAATGTCATTAAATATATACCTTGGATTCAGTCCTTAGTGTTTTTCCTTTTCATACACATTCCACCTGGAAAATCTCACTCACACATAAAGATTCACCTGTAAACCTATGACGTCTAAATCTTGGGCTCCAGCCCCCTTCTGGCCTTTGTATTAATCTTTCCCTCTTATTCTCAGATTTTCCACCCAGTTATTCCATAGGGACCTCAAAGTCAAGATGTTCAAAGTAATTTTCCCTTTATTCTAGCATCTCAAATCTTGGCAAACAGGACCACCGTTCACAAAGTCATTCAAGACGGAAACTTCCAGGTGATCCATGATTTCTCCCTCTGTCCCCGTATCCAACAGGTCACCGTGTACTTTCCATCCTTTCTGCCTGTGGTCACGCTCAGGACTCTTCTTCATCCACGTAAGGACATCTTCCAGACTCCTCTCCCTGACTCCAGCCTGTCCCCACCCTGATTTATCTTTTAAACTGCCAGAAATTAATCTTCTGAAATACAAATACAAGCCTGCAGCTCTGCTTGTTGAAAAAAACTCACACTATTGTTTGTGCTCCATAGCCTATAGGCTAAAGTTTCAATGTCTAATGTGATATATGATCCCTTTTTATCATCTCACCTGACCCATCTCAACCACACTGTTTCCTACACTTGCTTTACATCTTAGGCGTGAGTGTTCTCCAAGTGCATCACACACTTTCTTGTCCTCATGTTTCTGCACACACTGTTCTCTCTACATAGAATGTCCTTCCTCATTTTCTATCTACAAACAGATTCCAGACCAAATATCACCACTGTGAGGATATATACATTTTTTGTTGGATTAGAAGCATTTTATGGCAATAACAATACTCATCTATATTGTAATTTTTTCTTCTTATTGTATCTATTTTAACTTGTGAAATACTGTAAACATATAAATAAGAGAATATGATGAATACTCTATACCCAGGACTCATCTTAATGTGATAATCTCTATAGTTGACTGTGAACAGATTGTGTAAATATTTTATGCCACCAGAGTGAAACTCATTATATGCTAGGCTTGTGAAATAACTTACTAAAGAACAAAATACATATTAATGTAAATAGCTGTAAGTGTATATGAATACTGAAACAACTCCTACTATCCCAGGTATATCTGACAGTATTTTTTCAGTATTCATGTTAATTTCCCCTATTTTTTAGATGAAGAAAGAAGATGTCCATTAGGGTTGTACATTTATTTTTTTGTCCGTGGAAATTTTCTATCCAATCATAACTATCAAACTGTCCATGTATGGTTGCTTCTTTGGGTGTTTGGAGATTTCCGGCATTCATTAATTCTGACCTAGGGCCACCTTCGGGGTTTTATGGAGTTTGGGTAGGTTCTAATCACTCCAAGGAGCGATCAGTGTCAACTTTGAGATAAATGCTCCTTGACCCCTGACAATGGTGCCCCTCCTGTCTTAGGTGCCTGTCACTCTTGTGATCTTCATCCATCCCTCAGCCCACCTATACAAACTAACCCTCGGGACACTTTATCTCCCACTTTAATTTATTCATTGACACGTATTGAATCCACATGCCCACCCAGGTACTGGGGATAAAACACTAAATGGGAAAGGAAAGCCTCCCTGCCGTCCCAGAGCCCACATTCTAGACAAGGGAGGAAGATTAACAAACAAGCGGAATATAAAATACAGTGTCAGCAAGAGTCTGCAGTGGAAAATAAAGCCTATTGGGGAGCTCCAAGGAACCTGCCCAAAAGCTTCTGCTTATGGATTTGGGACCTGCCCTGGCAGAGGGAAACCCTTCCGAGACAAGTTAAAACCAGATAGAGGAGTTCTGAAATGTTTCCTGTCTTGAGTATGAAAAAAACAAACCATTTCCTATATTATAAACATGTTTTCAACTTCTTTATCTCCTGCCCTTTAAATGGATCAAAAATCACATTTTTAAAGAGAAATGAAAGAAGTACTGTAAAAGTTTTTAAGAAGAGAGAAAAAATGGAATATGCTTTCATTTCCTAAGTCAAATTGCCATCTTTTGTCATGTCCATCAATGTGCCTTTAGTGGGAACAGCCAGTGTCCCACCCTGGCAGGGATGTGAATACACTTGCACTCCTCATTTGTGTGGCTTTCCATCTGCTCCTTCCTCAGTGTTTCCCCACAATCTTAGAAGACCCAGATTCCTGCCTTCTCCACAATCAGTTTTCCATCTTCCATCTTTCTATAGCATCATACACAGTCCACGACGATGGTATCTATCAAATCTGTCATATTTGTCCACATGTCTCTCTTCCTCTGTTAGATTCTAAACCTTTAAAAGCAGAGTCTGTGGCCTGTCACTGACATATTTTCAGTGCTGGCACAATATTTGGCATACTCTGGGAAATGCATAGATCCTTGCTGGTTGAATAAATACATAACTTAAATTTCATCATTGTATCCACAGAGGAAGTCCAGGTTAGATTTTTTTAAATATTGAATTCTTATTTCAAATGAGTAGATTCAAATGGGAGGGGGATAATCACCAGTAAAAAATGTGCATACTTACCCCTTTCAACAAGTTCCTGCTGTTCATCTAAATTGCTGTGAAAATAAGAAATGTAAGTTTGCATACTCTTAAGAAACATAGAAATTAGTTGGCAATCAATTTATGTTTAATGAATGTCTTGAAGGAAGGAGGGAGTGGAGATGGGGAAGACAAAAAGGAAAAGGGCAGAGGATGGGAGGGGATGATGGGGGCGAGAAAAAGTGGGGAGGAAGAAACCAATCACCGGTGGTCAACAAAACTCGGATAACTGACCACATTATTTTATTTGGAACCTCTTGGTTTTCGTAAAATGTAGTTGTTCCTGGACAGAGGAATGCATATCCTTCCCTAGATACTTGTCTCCTTTGTCATTTCTAGATCTCTGACCACTTTGTACTAAAAGAAAAGACACATTCTTTTCATTGGTTATTATTAAAGGGAATCCATCCAGTTATTAGTGAACATAGAAAATATTAATATTTAATATAAACCAATAAGACCATGTGAAAGTCTTTGATCAAAAGGTCAGTGATGTCCTGGACTTAGTGCTGTCGTCTCTGAATTCACATTTTTCACTTAATTGGTTCCAAACTGGCCTCATAAATGGGTTTTCATCATTATTACTACTATTATTATTTTTTCATCTTAAAATCAACTTTTACCTGGATCTTTTCTTTTGCAGATCATAGATTTTATAGAGAACAACAAGCAGGGCTATTGATGTCACAATAATCAGAAATACCAGAAATATGATCACTGCATTAGAATTATCTAGAAATGAAAAAGAACACATAAAGAGAGCTTATTATGTCAAATATTTTGCTGGATTCTTTGAAAAAATCACCTTACAGTTTAACACTTTCATTTCTTTTTAAGTTTTCAAAAAATACAATTTTTAGAATGAGATCAAAGACAATACATTCCTGATTTTGTAAATCTTGCCTATATTGTTCAGAACCAATAAAACATTTCATATTTTAAGAGCGATAGAGCATAGAAGAGCAATTCTCTTCCTTCCTATCAAATAATGTCCTTTTATGAGATAGTATCATTTATATTTAATTCTCTTTCTTTCAGTCACTCCATTTTGAAGGGATCGAAGAGGTAATCTAGTTACAATTCTCAGAGAGAACCTCCTATAGTTTAACTTTATATGCAGAAGTAGGTAGCCTCTTAAGGGGATCAGAAAGGTCTCTGCCCCACAGAGATAAACCTGCTCATTGAGGTATACAATCAGTTATCCAAGGGACAAAATTATTTCATTCTACAATTGGGATTAGTCTTACTCTGACCTGTATTTCCACTAAGGTTTAATGTGAAATCACACCTTTTCTTGGAGGAAGGGCAGAGAAAAGAGAGTGTATTGGAAATATCCTTTGCCTTGAATAAGTAGGTCATACTATTTGTCTGCAGTGAAAGTGCAGTAAAGTACCACAGAGGCATTAGGGAGCCAGACTTAGCTCCACCACTTCCTAGTTGGGACCTTGGCCCAAATCCTTATTATCTTTGTGTCTCCATCCCTAATTCCTAAAATGAGGCTAAACAAGTTTGATTCACTGTAAACGTTTAGCACCATGCCTGGAGCATAGTCAGTACTAATTATTCACAATGCGCACAAAGTATTTTGAGTCTTTAGTGTGTGTCAAACACTGATTTAGGTACTTAAGATGTCTCAGAGAACAAAACAGACAAAGACCCCTGTCCTCATGTGACTGATGTTCTGGGACTTAAGACAGACAGTTAAGAATATACACATTAAGTAAGTGAATGGTAAAGTAGGTTGGAAGATGATAAAGACTGGGAAGGTAAGGAGTTAGCTAAGGAGGTACTGGCGGATGCTTGTTCTAGGCACAGGTGCAGTTAGGTGAGAGCCTGGAGGCAGGAACATGCCCCATGTCCAAGGAGCAGCAAAAATCCAGAATCCGGAGAGGCTGAAGTGGAGGGAGAGAGAGATGGGCAGCAGGAGATGCCATTTGAGAATATGGCCAGGAGTCGGCAGAGCATGAGGGTCAGGTTGGAGGGTCTTGTAAATCATTTTAAGGTTACATTGTTTTGTTATTGTTGTTTTTTGTTTTGTTTTGTTTTGTTTGCTTCACTGCTTATCTTGTAGGATCTTAGTTCCCCAACCAGGGTTCGAACCCAGGCCCACTGCAGTGATAGCGCAGAGTCTTCACCACTGGACCACCAGGGAATTCCCAGTTACACAGGTTTTGGAGTTAAATGTGTAGCACTTGCAGGATTTTGAGTAGAGGAGTAATTAACTCTAATGTGTGCATTATACAGATCCTTAGGACCCCTTATTGAAAATGCCATAACCCAGGCAAAATATGACAGTGGTTCAGATGAGGTTGACGGCTCTGGAGTTAGGTGAAGTAGTCATCCAGCGCTACAGTGAACGGAGATCAGGAAGGCTGTGGGCAGAACAGCCTTCTGAGGGGAAGAGAAGCTCAGTTTTGGATTTGAGAGTCTGAAAGAACAATTAGATGCCCAAGTGGAGGCACCAAGTAGGAAACTGGATATGCAGATCTGAGGCTCTCCTACCATAAATCTCACGAGAAAGGGGCTGGGACTGGACATTAATTTGAGAGTATTCAACACAGATCTGTTACTTAAAGCTATGAGATTGACTAATTCACCAGGAAATTAAAATTGGATAGAAAGGAAAGAAAGCCCAAGACTGAGTCCTGAGACACTCCAGTATTCAAAGGTTGGAGGAGAAAGATGGAACCTGCAAAGGGACTCACAAGTGAAATAGGAAGAAATGAGCTTTACTGTTGGGAGTTGCAGGGGGTAAAGAAATAGGGTGGCAGCCAAAGAGGAAATAGGGTCAAAAGAAATATTGTGGTCGTTGCTGTTTTTTGTTGGTTTTCAACAACTGCATCTTGATGAGACCCATCCAGCACAGAGGGGAAATCATGATGCCGGAGAGAAAGAAGAAAACTGTTACATCAGGGGTTTTGGTTGACAGGATCAAGGGATTCAAGAGTAATTGCAAGAGAGTGGCTATGGATTATGGATTATGGATTAATGGTTAATCCATAATGATGGATTATGAATTAACATTGTGCACAGAGGGAGTGGAGGACCCAAGGGGATGAGGGGCTGTCCATCAGGGTTCACTACCATGGCTATGGTTCACGGAGATAGGGAGAGACTTAGTGCTCTTACTATTTTCAATGAGGAAACAAATTCAACCCTCTTCAGTCATGTTTCTAAGGCAATACAGAAATTGTATGTTTTAGGCAGGGGTAGGCTGAGAAGACTGGGTCTTTTGAAGGAAATATATGGTGAGCAGAATTCCAAGATACGCCACCCAAGATTTCCAGGTCCTGGTTACTTCAGAAAATACTAATCTAGGTACTGCTGCAAAGCGATTGTGCAGAGAGAATTCAAGCGTCGAGTCAGTTGGGACTGGAAGATATGGGAATTGTTCTGGGTGAGCCCAAACTAATCATGAGTTCTTTAAAAGCAGAAGTCAGAGATCTGAAGCACCAGGATCCCACACACTGCTCTGGCCTGAAGATGGAGGAGGCCAGGTGGAAAGAACGTGAGGGGCCTCTGGGAGCTGAGTGCAAGCCCTGGCCTGCAGCCCCCAAGGAAATTGGGTCATCGGTCCCACAACAGCAAGAAACAGGACTCCATCAACCTGGAATGACCTCGGAAGCACTTTTTCTGCATATTCTCTAGATAAAAACTCATTCTGGACAACATCTAGATTTCAGCTTTGAGCGGAAGACCTGGTCACATGGAGCCGGAATTGTGACCTACGGAATTGTGAGCTAATGAACGGGTGTGGTGTAAAGCCACTGAGCATGCAGTAATTTGTTGGACAGCAAGAGAAAACTAATACAAAGCATTACCTCCCTGTGATTTTGCATGGAGACAGTCCGTATAGTTCAGCGTGGCTGAAGCCACAGCCTCCTCCCCTCCCTTGCTTCCTTCCTTCTTGCCTGTGGCTGACACTGGCTGACTCTTAAGCACTCTTTTCTCTTCCTTCCAGACCAGATTTCCTTGCTGTTAAGTGTGTCCAGGTAACTGAGATAAGGGTAGAAGGCATATAAGCCTCTTCTGGGTCTGGTGTTTACCTCCCGTCTGGAGAGACACTTCACCTCGTCTCTTCTCCAAACTGCTGGCTGGATGCTGGTTGTCCTCACAAATTCAGAAGCCACGTGTGGGAGAAGTCAGCCCCTGTGTCAGCCTGGAGTTTTGAATGGTGTGTGGAGCAGAACCCCACCCTCTACATGCCCACAAACATCCCCAATTGGTGTGGAGTAAGAAATAAATGTCTCTTTTGTTACTTCACTGGGATTTGGGGGCTTAACTGTTATAGCATCCATCGTTGCCTTAATTGATTGGTTTATCTGTTATAGCATCCATCGTTGCCTTAACTGATTGGTACCCCTCTTCATCCCATACTGACTGAGCAAATGCTACGTGTCCTAAAACTGTGACAGTCTCTGGGGGTATGAAAGAAAATAGGCAAAAAAAGGTACCAGTTCTGAGGGAATTTTCCTTACCTTTGGGGGAAAAGAAAGGCTAGACAGGTAAATAAAATAATTATATATTTTCCTTATATTTAAAGGAAAAAAATAGAGTGGTAAGAAAGTAAGGGGAACCTATTTTCTGTATGGTCCGTGGAAGACTTCCTGAGCATGAGACATTTCTCCTACAACCAGAAAGATGGAGTGACTCCGCCAGGCCAACGCCTGCCCAAACAGCGTGTCTCATGCTCCAGATGTCTCTAACTGGAAATTCATAAAAACAGGAACATAGAAAATTAATTTCAGATGGAGGTTGTCAGATGTCAGAGCTGAGTCTGCATCCTGGCTCTGGCATTTCTTTGACTCTTAACATGGGGCAAAATGATTAAATTGTCCGAGTTTAAATTTTCTCATCTATAAAATGGGAATGATTTGATCTTCTTTAGAAAGGTGTTGTGAGGATGCCTATATACGTGTCATGTGTGTGTCTATATCTATATCTATATTTATGTCTATATGTATGTATATCTATCAAGTGGGAAAGAGAAGACCAGCAGCACATACTAGACATTTTGCAAAAACCACACCAAACGGTGTTGAGTGAGCATTGCAATCCATTGCAATTAATTAGGGCTGTTGGTTCTATAGAAACATGACATAGCATCAGATGTGCCTCCATAAACGTATTAATAATAGAACAATGAAGGCTTCAGATACGTCTCGTGGCCTAAGACTTGCTCTTCTCTCTTCTCTCTAGGAGCCCCTGTAACACTGACCGAGGCAAAGATCCATGATGGCAGACAGGATGGGAGACGGGGAACCAGAGGTTGAGAGATTTCGACAAGTTTTGGAAGGTAGGAAGCAAAGGAGAGGAAGCCACAACCAGAGAAGCATGTGGTGACGAGGGACACACACCTTCCCAAGAACACCTGGGCCTCAAGCTCCCAGGCGCCATGGACAGTGGAAACCAATCAAAAGACAAAAATGGCACAATTGAGGGTCTATTTACAGAAAACCCAGGCATCTCTTGAAAGACAAACCAGGGAGGAGGAGACACAAGCCTACTCTTTGGAAAAATTGAATGGAAGAGGTAAGAGTCTAGAGGTAAAATCAGGCTCCAAGTAGAGAAGGGAGGAGGCCCAGCACGGAAGTGAAGCAGGAGAAGCAAGTGTCTGCATGTGGAATGGTTGGACACTGGCCCTGTGCCCTACCCTGAGGGAACCATCCCGCACCCTCCACTCTACCGCAAGTACCAGTTGTGGACTCATTTCTGGAGATTATGAATGATGCCGGAGAAAATAAATCAGTAACAACACAGAGAATCTCCTCAGTCAATACGGCCCCTTAAGGACCACAGAACTTCTAATCACCTTCTCCCCTGTGTCACTGTAACTGTGGTCAGACTGCCCATGAGAACGGAACTCTCAAAGAAACCCTCAACACAAAAGGCAGATGCCAAAATAATACATCGACTAATGATTCCAAAATGTGACTAAGATGAGCTCCAAAAAGACTGCAAAAAGAAAGTGGAACAAAGAAAACTTCCCAGAGATACAAGTCTCCAGGTCATGAAAGCCAATAGCATCCAGGAAAATAAGTGAAAAAGACCCATGTCAGACCAAGAATAAAGAGGAAAGCCTAAACGTTCTAGAGAGAAAATGAAATGAGGGAACATACGAAAAGAATGAGAAGCAGGATGGCATTAGAAAGTAATACTGGATGCAGGGGAACAAAACTGAAATACTTTAAATTCTATAGTTTTAAACTTAAAATCTATGCCAGGGCAAAATATTGATTGTGTTAGAATAGAATACAGATATTTTCATGCCTGCAGAAATTAGAATATTTTCTTCTTACACTAGAAGATATAAACCAGTAAAAACAACAACAACAACAACAAAAAACCCCATGAGATTCAAATACAGCAATTTTAAAATGGGAAACTGATAAAGGAAAATTTTATGATGGTACCCTCAGAGAGTTCCAGAAGAAAAGGACCCCAGGAATTCAATTGGGAATGTTGTCAAAATGCAGATGGTGGAATGTGATACCAGAGAAACTCAGTAATACATTTCTAGCAGCTGTGCTTTTGCAATTCGAAACCCAAGCCCTCCCCTGGAGTAGATGTCAGTATCAAAATGTGAAGACATTATTTATCTCTTATGAAAATGCTGTTGTTAGCAAAGAGTTAATACTTTTTCTGCTTTATGGGAAAAAAGGAGCATAGGATAACCCTCTAGCTCCACTGAAGGAGAAATCTGATAAAGATGGAATAGTAGCTGTGTCACCAGGCAACATTGCTAATGTAAACGCAATCCCTGATTTCCAAACGGCATCTGGACAGGAGGGTTATGTATGAATGATGGTGTCCTGGTGGGAAGCCCTGGCCTTGATTTCCCTGAATGCACTAACCCCTGGCACATCTTGTTACTGGGCGCATCCCTGTTGGCACATCTGGTAGCTATGCCTGTGGAACTATTATAAGAGATACATGGGGCTTCTAAGCCAGGGTCGCTCCCACACATACGGCCTCAGTCTTATAGCTCAGTTGCCTCTAGAGGGTCAAAGAGTTCATAGTCCCTGGACTGCAGTGGGCAATGCTAGCAGGATTTTCTTGGCCAGACCCCCTTGCTGGCTGTGTTTCCCACTCTGTGTTTCTCTGAGGGAAATGGTGCCAGGCCTGGCTTATTAAGATAGGAGTATGAAATGTCCAGTGGAGTCTATGACCCCAAGAATAAATGCTGACACTATAAATTATTTACATAATCAGAAAAACTCAATGAAGCTGTTGTTATAGTAAGGGCTTATAAAAGAAAATTATATGGAAATAAAGTCAAAGATACTTGGCTGAATTTGTTTGGCATTTCACATTAGGAGCTTTTATTTTATAAATCTGAGCAGAAAGAACTAAAACTTTGTATGGGACTTAGTAAAGCAGTTTGGAAAATAAGCTGTTTTTATATCTTCCCTCTTTGGAAAGACTTGGGAAAATGAAGCATTAATGATTGTGCACGTGCGGGTAGTTGACAAAGACGGAGAAGTGACAAGGTGACATCAGAAACAGCCTGTGTTTCGTAACACTGCACAGGGAGCTTTGAATTTAATTTAATTTAATTTAATTTACAAAGCTAACAAGTAGAGAAAACTTAAAGCAGTGTGCTAAGTCTTCTTCCTCCGCAGGCTCAGATCAATAAGCAACATTAAAACTCTAGAAAGAGCAGCAGACAATATCCCTTTTATATATGGAGGAAACTATAGAATTGAAAACAGAAATGGTGAAAAGTGGTCATTTTGGAGAGCAGAACAACCGGTGAGGGAAGGTGACACACGGCTTTCTTCATTTCAGTGATTTTTTTCTAGAGTGACCTTTATTTTGATTAAAATATTTTAAAATATTAGTGACCAAACATTAAAAAGCCATACTGTTATTAGGGAATGTGTATCCTAGCTCAGTTGGGTAAATCAGCACAGATTTGTATGTAACGCCTGCTTCTGCTAAGCAAATGCTTGAGGGACAGAATAAAATAAGGTGACAATTTCTAACACATACACAAAACAAACATGCTTGTTACTAACATGAAGAAATGCCATAAGCATAATCATAATATTAGTCTGTGCAGATAAATACTCTATGAATTATTTTATGAACTCTTTTAATAATTTAATATCTTAATTTGAATTTAAGATATTATATTTTAATATGGTGTTCACCTGTACATCTGTTTGCACACACAACTTAAAATATAATGTTTTTTGGAAAATATATAATATAAACATTTAATAATTAAACATGAGTAGGAATGTAAAATAATAAAGCTAAGTGCTACTATATACTTAATATAAATATAATAAATAGCTAAGTGATGACTTACAAGATGTTGATTGTGAAACAATTATTGGATGACCAGAATATTTCCCATTGTGATAAAAAACCTGAATTTCAGTAATAAAAGAGAAAATAGTTTTCTAGTATAAATTTATGAATCACAATATAACACATACATATTTGTCATACATTGTTGTTTATTTTCATAAAAAATATACTGGTTAACTTTAATTTAAAGTTGAAACTTCAAGATTATGTCAATACTTTATTATCAAAATGTTTTAAAGAAAATATTTACCAGTGAAAAAGATATAAAGAAATCTTAGCCCATTTAGCAATAATAATAATACTAATAGTTATAATCAGCAAGAATAAGTGAAAATGAAGGAACAAAATCCAACACATCAAAATGTTCATCATTTAAAGTTGATTCCCTATTAATAGGCTAACATCTTCACATTTCTTTCAAAAGGAAATTCTGCTGTATACTCTTTAGAAGAGTTATACATAAAACGTACAAAAAAGTTTTTAAGGCTAAGTGGAAACAATATAATGTAAGAATCACAGTATTTATATTCAAGTGATATTTAGTTCAGAAGGGTTAAAATGATCAAGATTGATGATACAGGGTAAACTCTACAGTGTAGGCATAAGTAGTTCAAAATATTGAACACAGTAAAGCAAAACAATTTAGATATACAAGGAAACAGCATGGAGCAGGAAAGCATTAAGAGTCTTCAGCAAAAAAACAGCTGAAGCAAAAATATATCTAAAGAGTATTAATAGAAGAGATTAATAATAAATCTGAAAAATATATATCTAAGCTTTTACCCCATGGAGGGTATATAATATCCTCAGTACTCACAGAGTATTCATAAATATTTATCACACACTGAGCTGTAAAAATTACTGTAGATTCCAAAGGGCAGAAATTGTAAAGGACAATCATCCTTTTAAACTAATAATTAATTGCAATAAAAAATTCAGGAACCAGAAATGTAGAAAAGTCTCTTTAAAAAAAAAAGATAAATTAAAAATTATTCCAAATTACAATTATATACTCTTTAGAAATTATCAATAATAAGAACAATCTACTTTAAAAATCCACTCATTAAATTTTATGTCAGCCATTGAGAAATTAGTAATAAGTAATATAGACATGGGATAGAGTCAAAATTTTACCAAAGAACAATCCGTAGCTTTATTTATTTATTTATTTTTAGTTAATAAAAAGGAAAAGGAGAAAGAAATAAATGGTCAAAAATCACTTTCAATGCCCAAACTACCAGAATATCAAAATAAACCTACAATAAAAGAAAGTAATACATTAACAATTATAAAAACAACTGTATTAATTTATTAACCAGAGATCACAATGATGAATAAATCTAAAATGATTGCTCCCTCATGAAGGTATAAATGTAGCAGTGGATTCTGAAATAAACATAAAAACAAGTTATGGGAACTGCAGTGAAGACAACAAGAGGCAGCCTTTTGAAGAGTGAGGAAGAGAAAGGATAACTGAATAATTGTCTCCTAATTTGAATTTTGAGATTGCATTTTAATACGATGTTTACCTATATTTTTCCAGAATAGCTTATCATCATTGACAAATGGGAGAAGAAAATTCTAGAAAGAGAGGAATGTTGAGTAAAGTGCCTAAAAGAGAGTAAAACCTGAGTGTTTGGAGAAAAGAAAAGGAAGCCAGTGTGCCTGGAGCTTCCCGGGTACTGAGGGAGGTGAAGTGAAATGTACAATAATAGGTAATAACAAAGTATTTCTTTTATTCCGACTCTTCTTTGGGAAAATATAAGTGGCACACCCACTCAAAAAGGGTAGCTACTTGAAAAGAACAGTAATATCGAAAGATAACGTAAATGATTCTCAAAGAATCCCTCTGTGTTAAAGGGACTAAAACACATTTTTTGGTGAACAAATAATTCCTGTATTATTTAAAGTTATAAAACACAGAACAGGAAAATGTCTCCAACCTGTTTTATCAGGTTAGCATAACCTTCATACAAAAATGTGAAAAGAATGATGCGTGTCCCCACCTATGTCAGCGTCGCCTTTACCCACTTATTAAATGACCTCATTTATGAATGCCTATTCATAAAGGCTTAATAAAATATTAAGCTGTTGAGCTCAATAATACTTTAAAAGAATAATACACAATGACAGAGCAGGGTTTTTTTCTTGGAATGTGACACTGGTTCAACATTAGAAAACCTATCACTATAATTCAGCATATACACCAATCACACCATAGCATCACAACGATGGCAGACCCAACATAGTACCATAAAACACATTTGATAAAGTCAAACCTACGTTTCTGGTTAAAAACAAAACAAGAAAGCTTATGTATACCTAAACACTTCTTTAAGTGATAAGAATGTGAAGCAGATTGTCAACATGACATTAAGCAGTCAACTGTGGAAATTCCCATTAAACCAGAAATAAAAGTGAGAGATTTGACTGAATAAAAATAAAAGGGGAAATTGTGTATGAGTTAAAGTGCTATAAAGAAAATTAAAAGGCAAACTATACACTGAAAACAAATTTGCAAGTCATAGGACAAAGAGTTTAATACTATTAATAGCCAAGAAGCATTCCCAAAGAAAACTAGACAAAGGAGCAGGAAGGATGTTACTACAAGACAAATAACAAAACGATATTTCTCCTCAACAGTAAGTAAAGAAAATCCATAAAAACAAAAAGAGATGCCAATACAGTATTCCACCCACTAAATATCAAAGGAAAAGGGGATGCGCAGTGTTGGTGAGATTCTCCAGAGCAGTTATTTCACACACTGCCATGGGAACGGCAATTTGGTAACTTCCACAGGGAAAAGAAAAAGTATCATAAAAAAATCTCAAAATACATGTCAATTCCTTTTGACCCAACACATTCATTTCTGGGAATTTATTCAGACAGAAATGATAAAAGACATATTCAAAGATGTTGTTATTTCCCAGTAAGAGTGTTTGCTGACTGTTGTCAAAACAGGCATAGTTAGTAGAATGTGATAAAGCCGTCAGATAGAATCTTACACAAACATGAAAAACTAGTAGCGGAATATTTAACATGGAAAAACGTTCGCGATACAGTGACTTATGAAACATGCGGTTTATCAAACGGTGCGCTCATATTAAGGAATTTGTGAGATCATGGAAAATCTACATCTGTCTCTCCCTCTAGTTCCTGGCACAGAGCTCCCCAAACCCTTGTGTCTCCTAACTGATAAGAGCGCTAGGAACATTTTTGTCTTTGGTCTTTGACCCTGATTCCTGACACAGAGCTGCAGAAAACCTTGTAACTTCCAGGGCGACAGTCTTTTACTCTATTGAGCTGATTCTGGGTGGGTTCCTGGATAGCTCCCACACGAGGGCTGGTCACTGGAAAGACCAAGCCATGATTAGTCTCAGAAGTTTCAGCCCCTCCCCTCCCCCAGTCTCTTGAGGAGGGAGAAGGGCTGAAAATGGAGTTAATGATTTATCATGCCTATGTGATGAAGCCTCCATAAAATCCCAGAAGTACTGGGGTCAGAGAACTTCCAGGCTGGGGAACACACTCACACCTAGAGGGTGATACACTCCCAACTCCACGGGGACAGAGGCTCCTGCACTTGGGACCCTCCCAGACCCCACCCTACGTATCTCTTCATCTGGCTGTTCACCTGTATCCTTTCTCAAAACCTTTAATAAACTGGTAAATGATGTAAGTGTTTGCCTGAGTCCTGTGAGCTGCTTTAGTGAATTAATCAAACCAAAGGACGTGGGTCACGGGAACCCCTGATTTGCAGACAAATCGAGCTACAAAGTGGTGGGGACTTCCTACTTGTCATTGTCTTCTGACATAGGGTGGGACCAATCTCGTGGGACTGAGCCCCTCACCTGTGGAATCTGATGCTACCTCTGGGTACATGGTGTCGAAATTGAATGGACACCCAGCTGGTGTCACAGATACTTGCTTGATGAGGGGAAAAACCTTTACACATTTGGTGACCAGAAGTGTCAGAAGTGAAGTGTTTCAGGTGTCCGGTTTTCTTTGGAAATGCTTCCCTGTGTTTCTTATAGTGAAGAACACACAGGAGATAGAATGAACTGAGGTTTCTCCCTACAGCAGGAGGAAAAGACTGAGTTTTCCCATTTTAGAAGTATACACACAGAATATGATCAGTAGACAGCGAGCTTATGGGTGAGCTTTTTAACTCTCTGTGTACACTGCTATTTCCTTACATTTATTTCTGCTATTTTTTAATCTCAATGTACCTGTAAAAAATGTTTGTAATTTAAGAAGTCACATTAGTGGGCTTCCCTGGTGGCGCAGTGAGAAAGAGTCCACCTTCCGGGGCCACGGGTTTGAGCCCTGGTCCGGGAAGATCCCACATGCCACGGAGCAGCTAGGCCCGTGCGCCACAACAACTGAGCCCGTGTGCCACAACTACTGAAGCCCACGTGCCCAGAGCCCGTGCTCCACAACAAGAGGAGCCACCGCAATGAGAAGCCTGCGCACCACAGCGAAGAGTAGCCGCTGCTTGCCACAACTAGAGAAAGCCCGTGCACAGCAATGAAGACCCAATGCAGCCAAAAATAAAATAAATAAAAAATAAAAATAAAGTATTAAAAATTTTTTAAAAGTAACAGTAGTAAAGATAACTAGCCTAGATGAATAAAAGTTGTGGCAAAGGAATAATCTACTGTGCATGAAATGTTGTGCTTCTTGACACGGGAGCAATAATTTAGCTATAAGTAAATCACGTTAAAGGTCAAAAATAATCCAACAAAATATGTGTTGTAAACAACTGTATTATGTACTAGAGATGAAAATTTTGGAGTCAAACTTTTACACTTTTAAAGTGTGATTCCATTAGACATCAGAGCTTCGTGAGCACTGGTGTTAGTATTATTTAAATACTGCAGAATAATCACTATAATGTATATCAGTAATGTATGATTATGGAAATTGTAATCTTACCTGAAATGTATATTCTGTTGAATATTGAAGACCTTCTACCGAGAATTTGCACTTTTGTTGTTGTAGTTCTTTTTTAGCCGAATTATTTCCAATACTGACTATCAAATGGTACTTCCCTGTCTTGGGGCCATTAAAGTCGTCAGGAGGTTTACAGCTCACATTCATACTATTATCTGTCTTCCTTGAAACACGTAAGTCCTTGACCTTGCTTGGATCTATCAAAATGAAGAAATATTTTATTTTTAATCATTTGGTAAACGTGTATTTAAATTACTGGACAATATATGTGTACAGTATAAACTGTTTTAAGTGCTTATTTGGGTGTTACAGATGGGGAAGTTAGGATAGAACATACATAAAAAGCTATAACAAAACATCTGAAAATAAATTACACATTCATTTGATGAATATTAGCATGTAAGCTGTACTTGAAACTATGAGATTTTTTTGCAATTCCCCCAAAGAGAGTGGGTAGAAATAGAAAATAGAGAAGAAAGGAGTGGAGGGGCAGGGAGGGGAAACCCCGAAGGCCTACGAACAGTCCAGGTCCTCCTTTTGGAAATGCTTACATGACCCTGGTGATACCTGGCTGGTTTCTTCAGCAGCAATGAATCATCTTTGTTTCTGTGATAGCACAGACTTTCAGGAAAATAACAAAAGCATAACGCTTGAGGACCTGGACTTTTGAAACCAGAACTTAAATGACATTAAGAGCATTTTACATCTGGTCCTGAAGAGGACAATTTTTCTGCGTGAGCCTGGTGCCAGGTGGGGTTTCTGGAGCCATAGCTGTTGCCTTACACAGGGGTATTTCTTCTGCCCTGACCTCATGGAGTTCACATTCACCCCAGAGACAGATCTAGCTTTGGACCTGGAATCTATGGAGCCATCCCATGGTGGGGCAAGAGCCAAATGAATGTAAAATGTGACATAAAATAAAGTAGTATGTAGTTCATTGTAATGGAGAAGAAAATGCTGACAAAATATTGTTTCATGAGGTCATGCAAGCAGTGGATGCTTTGTGAGTGAGGCGTTCTTGGGTGTCTGATGGCAGTCGATATTTCTAGAGAATAAAGAAAACAATAGATAACGCATTTTTATCTAAGTTGGTTAGATACTTAATTGCCTGAAATCTTATAAATTGTACCTGTTCATACGCCCTCAGGCTTCATTCTTACAATTCTATGATTATACCTGAAGGATACAGAGAAAACCCAGGATGAGAGTTTTTAAATTGTTGTGTTTTAAATTATTATAAACCCTAGATGTTAACAAATGTGCCAGGTCAGTGTGTTTCTCAAATGAAGCATAAAGGTGGACATGTTGTTTTAACGGTTTAGACTTTGCTGTTCATAGAAAAAAGCATTAAAGCTTATAACTTACGTGTTGCTTCTGTTTCAGCTACACATTTCACATCAGTTCCATTACGTTCCACTCTTCCATTGACAGAGGCATGTAATGTTATCTCATACTTTGTAAAAGGTTTCAAATATTCCAAATTAATTGTATTTGTGGTTTTATTCAGAGTGTGGCATCTTTCTTCTCAGGGGAAAAAATGGAAACTTTTAGTAAGTCATCAAAATTTAAGATTAGCACATATTTAATTTAGTGTCTACAGTAAATCATTCCAAGCCGACTCCAAACTGAGTGATTGAGAAATGAAAAATCCTTGGTGCTCAGGAATACACACAATTATCAGCAAATGCATTGAACAACCGTGATTACTATAAACTCAAATATTCAAAAATGATGGTTTCATATAATTAATTTGGTACATAACGTATTTAATAAGTTCAAGCATATTGTTTACCTATGATCTCTTTTCTTTCTGAGAAAACACAGCTCATGGTGGATATCATGAAAGTCTTTTTTCCAAAACTTTGGCAACCCCTTTTCTGATACTTAACCTCCAAACTTTGAACTTTGGTATGAGCCACTGTTATAGACTTCAGATACAAAATCCATTTGATCACCAGTAACTAAGTATCCTCTGCTCTATTCATCAGAGCACTACAGTAATTCATGGGAGCTGAAACAGTGAAGGACAGCTTCACACTGGCAGTAGAACCTGAGCTGATCATTGAAAGATGAGTGAGGCTGGGTAGGTGTAAGGGAGGAAATAAAATTTTACAAAGGAAAGAAGGAGCATTTTTAGTTTAGGCACGAGCCCGACTAGGATAGCAGACTCTGGCTGGGTAGGAACATGGGAGGTGGGGCCTTGCTTACACAGATGAGTTAGCACTTGTTAAGTTGAAAAATCACTAGCCACTGACTATTTTTGAGTAGCCAAATGCCACCAAGAAAGACAGGTTAAAAGAAGGTTAGAGAGGAAGCACGTTACAGTGATAATAATAATAATACCAGTAGTTATAAAAACAATGAACAGACGATGCTGTGTTCCAAGCATGTCTTGAAGTGGTCTATGTGAATTAATTCACCATCACCACAACCCTATAGGTTGGCACTGTTGATGTCATCCGATTTTACAGATGAGAAAACTGAGCCACAGAGATATTAGCAATCTGTCCATGATCTCACAGGAAAGGAACAACAGAGTCAGGATGAAACCCGGACACTGAGGTCCCAGAGGCCATGCTTTACCCTTCACCGCCATGCATATTGTCTGGGGTAGAAGAGGGGGACAAGGGTCTGCAATGGGGCCAAGCTTTTTCCTCCTCTTGGACACTTTAATTCTCTGGTCCAGGTGGACACGCCAATGGACTTGCAGAAACAGTGTAAGGGAAGATTTAGCACGTGCTAATTTCTTGTCTCAGTTACTTATCCATGACATGGAGATTATAGTAATATCTCTACCTCACCATGGGATGCTAAACAGTAAGTGAGATAAAGTGTCTGTTCTAGCCTGGTTAAATGTCTATTTTCTCAGAAATCCCTAAATCTGAGTTAGTTGATTTAATACCCGCCAGCTCAGCTACCCTGTCCCCAGTGAGAATTGTCTTTGAGGACAGGAAAGGTGTGAGTTCTAGAGAGGGGCAGGTGGCACCCCCTTATATGCTGTCTGGCTGTCGGGACAAGTATCAGCTTCTAACTCAGCTACAATCCAAATGTCAGGATGTCGTTCTCAAGGTCCATCTGGCTTCCATTCAGTGACCTAATTTTGTATGATTGTAGATGTAATCTCACAACCATTCTGCATCAAAATGAGTTTCATTTATGTTGTTCTGTGATGCTTTCATCTTAGCCAGCTTGATAAAATCAAATTGTTGATTTAATTTTGAACAACACATTTTTTTCCAAAAGACATTGCTGTTTGGGGAATCAAAGTGTTCAGTGCTTAGAAAGATGGTTTGGAATGTTCATTTCCAGTTGCCAAGGGTTTCAAGCTTTGGTTGAAAGGTCAACATATTTTACACGAGCCTCTCTGCCTCCATGTGGGATACCTTTCCTCAGGACCCTGAGGTCAGAAGCACTAGTCGAATGGCACAGGTAAAGACTTTATTAGACTTAGTGATGAAATTTAGTTTTCCTTAGGGCGACAGGGATACATCTAGTTTCAAGTCATGCCTGTTGCACTGGAAATGGCTAGATAGATACTGGCTTCGTCACTTGTCACCTCTTTGCTTTTTAGCAAATACCTCAGGAAATCCATTAACAACTTCCCAGTTTAAACTGCTCTAAAGCATCTTCCTGAACACCATGCAAAGTAGTATAAACTTGTTGATCCCCAAAGGGTTTTGCACTGCTACCTCCCAAAATAAGAGGTAATTTTTCTCTTATGTTGTTTAAGCAAAAAGGCAATAAACAAAATCATTTCCAATAACAACGTTGCGATGTGGAAGGGTGCACACTGGTTTCAATAACTTTTGAGAAATAGTCCTTTGAATGCAACAATGACTCAGGGTCTCTTCCCTATTACCGAGGAAACTTCATTGTCACTTGGCACTTTAAGTTAATACATAATACTACAGATGCACAAGGTGTCTCATGCTCAAACATGAACTTACAGTAGCGAAAAAAGCACAGTCCAAGCTGTTGAATTTGAGCATTGATTTTAAGTTCTGTGATCCTCAGGGAATCGTATGAACTCTGAACATATCCATGTATCTCTCCTCTCAGAGTCATTGTTGAAACGTTTAACAAAATCTTAAAAAGCTATAAAAACACCCCACAAGCAGATAAAACTAAATAAATGTCAGTTACATTTTTCTACCTCTTTTAGTCTACAGCTTTCAGAGCCGCTGCGATGATTAAATGAGGGAATAACAAAAGGAATTTAATACCTAATTAAAAGTAATATAAATTGCCATAGGAGTTCACTGACTTTCTTCCCATGGATTTTTAATAGTGGTTTTATTTGAAATAATGAGAGTAGTTAAAAGAATTGTTCTAACAATGCTATACTCCGATCATCTCTCTTTGACTTAGATAATACAGAAGAGGATCTCATGTCCTGTGCTCCTGATGAACCAGAAGACAAGACAGAGCACGGTCCTCTTCCCAGCAGTGGAGTATGATAGCAACGAGAGACAGAGGACTGGGGATGAGCTGTTTCCAAAGGGCCCTTTGAGCAGAGTCAGTGCATGAGCCACAGTGGAGACTGAGTTCAGTTAGTTACCAACCAACTTTTGGAGAGGACACACAGAGCCAGATGTTGCCTACCTGCCCCTTCCCTCCCCACCCATTCTGTTCAAGTGTTATATTTGGAGAGTCAAAAATTTGGGTAGCACTGAATAAGAAGGAGCTGTACTCATTGCAAAAATCAAACAAAAACTCATCTGACTGCAGTAACTAACACATTACATCCTTCTAAGCCTAATTATTCAAATACAGGTTTTTTAAATAGTATAGAATACAAAGAAGCAATAAATATTGCTCCATAAATTTCCACCATATATTCTGGCATACAAAATACTCCATAGTAGAGAGAGAATATAGAAAGTAAGGAATACAGAAAGAGATAGTGAGAAGAAATTTCAGAAAAGAGAAGAGAAAACAAAACAATGTGCTCACACAGAAACCAAGCAAAGAAAGTTTGTAGGAGAGGTGTCCAGTGAGGCAGACTGTACTCCTGTAATATGTCAGATTACAGATTGTCTTCCTGTAGTTTCCATGTTTCATCTTCCTGTAAGTTCCATTTTTCCTTTCTCATAGACATAACTTTTCAAATTACCATAACCTCAAATACATTGCCTGTATTTCTTCTCCATAGAATTTGAGCCCTCTTATGCTAATTTGAAAACTACATGTGTATTGAACTTTGCTGTAGTAGTTTGATTATTAAGATTCAAACAACAAGCAAAAACAATATGCTATCAAAATGTAAAATAACACACTGGAGATAAGTGGCTTTCTACTTTTCAAAATTTGAAAATTTATGTCTGGTTCCTACGCACCAAACAAAGAGATGGAATTCTGTGAGATGTCCAACTCAATACTACTTTAAGCTACAGGTAAAGGATTGACAAGTGGGCTATTCCGTGTGCTGAATCTGTTCTGAGGTGGTCCATGGTCCCCACTGTTTTCTACAAGTATTTTAGATACTTCACATCGTCCAGGAGATGTCTGGTCTCTTAAATAGTGTCTCATTTGGAGGGACTAGGCCAATGGTTGAACTAGTCATAGCACATTTTTTGGGCTGTCTTTATTTCTGCACAAGTTCTGCAGAAGTTAGTTAATGCTAACTAGACCTATGTTCCAAGATTCCACCTGCCATCAAACTCTGTAGCTAAGTGGGCATATGTTCATTTTTGTTCACCCAATTTTTTGTGTATATCAGCTGGGGCACGTTTTGGAAGTTGTTGTTTGTAGTCCAGAATGATGAGTTTTTGGAAAACAGATATGAGTATTATCTTCCAGAGATTTTCTTTCTCTAAGCTTTGGAGTGTAACAATTAGAACTAAGAAGATCAAGAATGAGAAATGAGTATTGGGGGATACTCTGAGATTTAGTCATTTCAGAGGCTAGGGAGCCTGTAGTGAGTGGAGGTAGTTCTAAAACCAAGGCGTACAGGATGCTCGTCACGGTTGTAGTGTAGAGAGCTCCGTGGCTCACTAGCTCCATCCATATGTGGAGTGCGCTTTCCAATTTTTGATTTATCTTTCCTGATATGGAATTAAATTCTATAAAATTACCTGAATGATTCCGGTAACAAAGAGTGAACGTATGAAAAACATTTTCCGGTGGTTCCCAGGTAACCCATCCTTTATGTGCACTGAAGTTAGAACACCTCATATTCTGAGGGATTCCTGGAACTGTTGAAAAAATAAGAATATAAAATGTAAGAAACAAGACATGGAGAAAACGTTCTTCATATTATTAGCATGCATTATTAATAGCCATATTTTGATTAATTATGAATTGATGATGAAGGTAAAAGAAAGATATCTGGTCTTGTTAAATTTGATATGGTCATGTAACAGAGTGTCACTCCAGGGTGACATTGTGGAGCCTAAATGTTCCACTGACTTGACGAGGTCTGAAAACCCCTCTTCCTCTCATTTATCTTATTGTCCAGCTATCTTGGGATGTCTAGATTTCCCTATGCTGGAAATCTGTCACTGGTAGGGCTGATAAAGTTAACAGTCAGTACTGGAGTAACACTTGTCATCACTTCCAGTAACTAGTCATCAGAACTTGAGGTGAAGAATGTAATAAATGCTTAAATCAAAACTACAAGGTATAATTTATATGAAAACCTGCCCGTTTGGGGTATAGTTGGATGGGTTTTGACAAATATATGCATCGATATAACCACCATCGCAATCAGATATAAAACATTTCTATCCAACCAAGGAAGTTCTTCTGTGTCCCCTCCCAGTCCACCCAGTTCCCTTGCCCACCCCCAAACACCCTCTGTACTGCCTTCTATTACTATAGATTAAATTAATCTTTTCTTTCATTTCATATAGATAAAATCAAACGGTGGGTACATTTTTACGTCCAGCATATTGCACTTAACAGAATGTTCTGGAGATTCATTCATATTCATTCATTCACACTGTATGTGTCAGTAGTTAGTCCTTTTTATTTGTGAGTAGTATTCCATTCTAAGGATAGACCACATTTCACCTATTCATTCAACTGTTGATGGACATCTGGGTTGTTTCCAGGCTTTTGGCTACTATGAGTGAATCTACTATGGATATTTGTGCAGAAGCCTTTCTGTGGAAAGGACATGTCCTTTCTTCTTTGGTAAATACCTGGAGTGAAAGTGCTGAGTTATTACTTTGCCTTCTCACCAATAGTATTGTCAGTCTTTTTCATTTTAGCCATTTTAGTTGGTGTGTGATGGCATCAGCATCTGTTTGTTGTCTTAAGTTGCATTTCCCAGTTGACTAATGATATTGGGAAATTTTTTATGTGCTTATTGACCATTTGTGTATCTTTTCCTGTGAAGCATATGATCAAAATTCTTGTCCATTTTTAATTGAGTTACTTGATGTCTTATTTTGTATTTGGAAGAATTCTCTATATATTCTCCCAAAACTCTCTGTTGAAAAAATTAATTGTGGATATTTTTTCACAATGTATGAATTGTGAAAAATTTTTATTTCCTTAGTGACTTTATTCAAAGAGCAAGAATGTTTAATTTTTATGAAGTTTGATTTCTAAATGTTTTTCTTTTATGATTCTTGCTTTTTGTGTCCATCTAAGGAACCATTGCTTAAGCTAAACTAGCAAAGATTTTTCTAACGTCTTTGTCTAGACATTTTATAGTTTTAGATTTAGTGTTTAGCTTTGCAATCCATTTTGAGTTAATCTTTGTGTTTGTTGAGAGGTAAAGGCTGACGTATTTATTTTTTCTATAGGGATAACTAAAAGAAATCTAATAATGAAATAAATATCTAAATAAATAAATAACCAAAAAAAAATCCTTCCCTCCACTGAATTGCCTTTGCACTTTTATAAACAATAAAATATTTTTTTCCTGGGATTTCTATTTTGTCACAGTATACAAATTTTAGTATTTGTATCCAAAAAGCATTAAATTTTTGCTAGTTACATGAAGACATAGTATTTCTGTAGGTTCATTTATTTTCTAATGGCTTTGAGTTGTTTGGGGGGCTACTGGAGACATGGATTTAGGAAGCTGTCTGACTCTCAGCTAGCTATCCCTTCCACATGAAATTCAGAATCACTTTAGTACGTTCTGTCAAAAGTCCTGTAATAGTATAATTAATAAACAACTTCAGCCATGAGACAGATTTCAGGATCAATATAGAAAAGCCCATTGTATGTCCACACACTGGCAATGAACAATCTGAAAATGGAATTAAGAAAACACCACCATTATAAGCAGGAATAAATTTAAACCTAGGAGTGAATTTAACAAAAGAACTCTAAGACTTGCACACTGAGAACTACAAAACATTCTCCAAGAAAATTAAAGAATACCTAAATTAATGGAAAGACACCCCATATTCATGGACCAGAAAACTAACATTGTTAGGATGGCAACACTTCAAATAGATCTACAGATTTAACTCAACCTCTGTTAGAATCCTGGCTGGCTTCTTTGTAGAAATTGACAAGTTGATCTCAAAATTCATATGGAATTTCAAGGGACCTCAAATATCCCAAACAATCTTGAAGAAGAACAAAGTTGAAGGACTCACACTTTCTGGTTTCAAAACTTACACAAAGCAACACTAACCAACAGTGTGGTACTGGCATTAGATGTATAGATTAATGGAATGGAAGAGTCCAGAAATAAGCCCATCATTATTGTTAATTAATTTTGACAAGGATGAAAAGAACATTCAATGGGAAAAGAATAGTTTTTTCACTAAATTGTGCTAGGACATCAAAATAATGAAATTGGACCCTTACCTCAAATCATAAATGAATATTAACTCAAGTGGATTAATAGAGCTAATTTTTAGACTTAAAACTAAAAAATTCTTAGAAGAAAACATAGGGATAACTCTGCATAACCTTGGATTTGGCAACGAAATTTTAGTTGTGACATCAAAAACATGAGTAACAAAGGTAAAATTTAATAAATTGGACCTCATCAAAATTAAAAACTTATAAGCTTCAAAAGCTATCAACAAATTAAAATGACAACCCAGAGAACTGGAGAAGATATTTGCAAGTCATATATCTGAATTGTGTCTAGAATATATAAAGAACTGTTACAACTCAGTGAAAAATAACCCAACTTTTAAGAATGGGCAAATAGTGATAAAAGATATACAAATGGCAAATAAACAGCTGAAGCTATGCTCAAGATCATTAGTCATTAATTCAAATCACAATGAGATACCACTTCACACCCACTGGAATGGCTAAAATAAAAAAGACAATAAGTGTTGGTGAAGATGTGAAGAAATAAGAACACGTACGTTGTTGGTGGGAATGTAAAATGATGCAGCTACTTTGGAAAACTGATTGGCAGTTCTTCAAAATGCAAAACATAAAGTTGCCATATAACCCCCAAATTCCAATCCTAGGTATAAACACAAGAGAAACGAAGACATATATCTACACAAAACTTGTACACAAATGTTCATAGCAGCATTATCCGTAATAGTCAAAAAGTGGAAACAGCTTCAATGTCACTCAACTGATAAAGGGACAAACAAAACAAGGTACATTCATAAAATGGAATATTATTAGACAATAAAAAAACGGAAGTATTGATACGTTACAGCATGGATGCACCCTGAAAACAGTACACCAAGTGAAAGAAGCCAGACTTGCAAAAGACAACATATTATATGAAATGTCCATATTAGGCAAATCCATCAAAGCAGAAAGTAAATTGATAATTGCCTAGATATGGGAGCTGGAGGGAAATGGGGAGTGACTGTTAAAAGATACCAGCTTTTTGCTGTTGCTTGTTTTTTTGTAGGTTTTATTTTATTTTATTTTATTTTTTTTTGGTGTGAAGAAAATGCTTTAAAGTTGATTCAGGTGATGATTTACAACTCTAAATATATTAAAAACCACTGACTTCTATACTTTACATGGGTGAATCATACAGTAGGTGAACTAACAAAAGTTTGTGGGTTTGTTTTTTTTAAGAATGTGGCTTCTTTGGCAACGGTCTTGAAAAATTTCCCCTGTTGCCTGAATAAAATGACATGTAAAATGGTTATATTGCTATTTTCAAAGGCTGCAGGATTCCTGCATTACTGGAACAAACTCAATAATGGTGGGGATTTTAAGACCTTACTTTTTTACAGCATTTTTGAATTCACAGCAAAATTGAGGAGAAGGCACAGAGATATACACAGCATCCCCTCTTACCAACATCCTCCACTTGAGTGGTACTTATGTTACAATTTATGAACCTACACTGACACGTCATTATCACCTGAGTCCATAGTTTACATGAGGGTTCACTTGATGTTGTACATTCAATGGATTTGGACTAATATATTACATGACATGTATCCATTATTACGGTATCATACAGAGTACTTTCACTGACCTAAAATCCTCTGTGTTCTGCCATTTCATCCCTCCCTCCCTCCCTTACAACTCCTGGCAACCACTGATCTCTTTATTGTCTCCACAGTTTTGCCTTTTCCAGAATATCATATAGTGAAACCATATGGTATGTAGCCTTTTCAGACTGGCTTTGTTCACTTAGTGATGTGCATTTAAGGTTCCTCTATGTCTTTATAGCTCATTTCTTTTTAGTGCTAAATAATATTCCATTGTCTGGATGGACCACAGTTTATTTACCATTCACCTACTGAAGTACATCTTGGTTGCTTCCAAGTTTTGGCAATGATGAATAAAGCTGCTATAAACATCCATGTGCAGGTTTTTATGTGGACATGAGTTTTCATCTCCTTTGAGTAAATACCAAGGAGTGTGATGGCTGGATTGCATTGTAAGATGGTGTTTAGTTTTATAGAAACGCTCAAAATCTCTTCCAAAGTGACTGTACCATTTTGCATTCCTACCATCAATGAATGAGAATTCCTGTTGCTCCCCATCCTTGCCGACATTTGGTATTGTCAGTGTTCTAGATTCTGCCCATTCTAAAGGTGTGCAGTGATATCTCATTGTTATTTTAATTTCCCCAATTACATGTGACGTGGAGCATCTTCTCATAGGCTTATTTGCCATCCATAGAACTTCTTCTGTAGTTACATATTTTATAATGTACTAAAGAATCCACTTTGCTAACAGTTCATTTACTATTTACTATCTATGCTCATAGGAGAGACTGGCCTATAGTTGCCTCAGCTCTGCCCAAGTTTGGTATCCACATGACAGTAACCCTAGTCTATCCCCCACCCTAACAATAATCAAAATTAGTAGATAGATTTCCATGATTTCTATACTGTGGAACAGTTTGAATAGGATAGGAACTAACTGTAAACTTACCTTTCTGGTTTTTCTTTTTTAAAGGGCAGGTGAGGTAAGCAGACAGCGAGTGTGAAGAGATTAGAGAGGTATTAGACTATTATTTTATATACAACTCCAATTTTCTAATTCTTCCTAGGCAAATGTCCATAATTCCTATGTTCTAGAAAATTATCCATTTTATCTAACTTTTCATATTGGATGCAAGTTTCTTTATAATCTGTAAAATTTCTACCGTATTTTTAATTTCCTTTTTATAATGCATGGGGGAAGGTTGTTTTGCTAGAGGTCTAACTATTTTATTATTCTTTTCAAAACCAAGCCTTTAAATTGGTTAGTAAATTCCTGCAATTTTTGTTTGTTCCTTCTTTCAGTAATCTGTACTCTAAACTTTGTTATTTTCTGCTTTCTCTGCTTTTGTTTTCTGGTTCTTTTCCAAGCACTCTCCAATGATTTTCATTCAATAGAGAGCAAAGTGATAAAAGTTCCCATAGGGCTTCCCTGGTGGCGCAGTGGTTGAGAGTCCGCCTGCCGATGCAGGCGACACGGGTTCGTGCCCCAGTCTGGGAAGATACTACATGTCGCGGAGCGGCTGGGTCCGTGAGCCATGGCCGCTGAGCCTGCGCATCCGGAGCCTGTTGCTCCGCAACGGGAGAGGCCACAGCGGTGAGAGGCCCGCGTACCACAAAAAAAAAAAAAAAAAGTTTCCATAAAATGTCACTTGATCTTACTTAAGGCTACAAATTCCTCCCCGCAAATATGTCTTTACTTTACTCAAGTCTGAATATCTTTGTTCCAAAAGGTAAATTTAAGCCATCTATATTTATAGTGACTTTTGATACTTTGACATGTTTCTGCTGTTTTACCTATTGTTTCCTGCTTAGCAGTCTCTCTCTCCCTCCCTTCCTGCCACGTTTTTCTTCTTCCTTCCCTTCCCCCTCCCCCTCTTTCTTCTTCTTCTCCTTCTCCCTCTCTCCCTCTCTCCCTCTCACAATCTCTCTCCCTCTTCTTCCTCATTCTTTTCCCTTCTTTCTCCTTTTCCTCCTTTAACATGAAGAATTTTTTTTTTATTCCGTAACTTTCTTCTACTGCGAATAGGCAATGCCATCTATTTATCTGTCTTTCACGTTTTTAGTGGTTACTCAGAAGTTGTCTTATGCACAATTAACATAGTTTCCTAGCAGATTCTAAATTTAACTGGAATGTCTTTACTTCTACTACAGCGGTCCCCAGCCTTTTGAAACCAGAGACAAGTTTCGTGGGAGACAATTTTTCCACGGACTGGGGTTGGGGGGTTGGTTCAGGCGGTGATGGGAGCGATGGGGAGAGGCAGATGCAGCTTCACTTGCTCACCGGATGCTCACCTCCTGCTGTGCAGCCTGGTTCCTAACAGGCCGAGGACCAGTACCCAGGGGTTGGGGACCCCTGTTCCACTAAATACAACTGAAATTTTAGCACTTTTCACTTCCTTCTCCCCTCCATCTTCCAAATGCTATTACTTTCCAGAATTTTACTTTCCAGTTGTTATTAGTTATGATAGTCTGGTTATTATTTATACTGCTGACATTTTAGTAATAACAATTGTTATTTTGCCATCAACACTTAGCTTTACCATTGCGTTTTATTAGCTTCTTAAAGTGAGCTTCTGTGCTCATTTTACTCCTATCAGCGGCAGGATTTGATAGAGGGGGCAAAAGATGCAGGACACACCAAGAAGAGAATGCTGCTACAGGAAGAAAGGGGAAATAAAATGGAAAACACGTGAACAAGCATTTCACTTACCTCACAGATTTGTTTCCACCCCGACCTCACAACAGCCTACAGTTTGCAAAAAACTTGATGAAGGTTTGGATTCGCTGTCATTTACTTCTAAATTCTTACTTTAAAACGGACACAAAGCCATTTTCTGAAACCCTTTCTCCAAATCTATAACATCTTTTTCTGTGATTCTCAATGAATCATAAGAATATAAAAAGGAAAGAAATTTAACATATAAATGTAAGTGATATACTCACCTCTAAAATCTGTTTTAATAGTTGTATTTTGGCTAGTAAGAATCTTGTTATTATAAGATACTTCTGAACTACAAGTATAATTACTTTGGGGCTGAAGGTTGAACTTTTCAAATCTTCCACTTTCATTATATGGAGAAAAGTCACCTAAAAGAAATAAGTATTGCATATGAGTATATGAATACAATATATCACACTTAAATTTCATTTCGGTTTTATATCTATAATTAATATCTATTAGATTGAAAACCTATGCAAATGGTCAAAACAATAAGTAAAAGGACCTGATATCAGCTATAATGCTGCATGATTTTGCTACACTCAATTTTAAAGAAAACATTAAGACGTAGAACTGAATTTGAGAGTGTCTCTAATTTAGCTGATGAAATGAGGCCTTAGTTCATTGTTCTCTGTGCAGAAATTGAGATTGCCCTTGATATCGCCTTTACCTCGAAGATATCTTGTTTAATCATCAGACTGTCATATGTTTGTCCTTGCTTTCCTCACCCTGCTCGTGTCCGAGCTGAGCATCTTCCCCGTAACATGATGATTATAAGCAGTATCATACTCCATCCTTCGTGTGAGAGTGTGTGTGTCTTTGTTTGTCTGTCTGTCTTGCCAAATATGGCCTAGCAGATAGCTTTATGCCAAGGGGGGAGATTTCATCCCAAAAAATTCAAATGAAAATAAATGAAAAGTTATTAAATCATTAAAAAGAAATGCTATCTCAATTATTCCCCCTTCCAGGAACTCAAATTCATATTCCTAGAAGCACTTACTATTCTTTCTCTACTTTCATTTTATCTAAGTCTTCTTGTAGTTGTTTATAAATGTGGTTGATGGAGGGCTGACAAAGAAAACTCTCGGAATCACGTGAAATTATGGTTGTTTTCCCTTTCATTCTAAGAGTATGTGTACCATAATTTTTCATAACTCTCTTCTCTGATAATATTTCCAACAATACCTCATGTATAGCAGTTGCCAAGAAAATTCTTATGAATTAACTGATATTGCTATTTCAAACATTATTTTTCAGGTGGAGTGTTTGTCTATTTTGTGAATTTGAGTTGTATAGAGAATACAATGATTTGATTCCAAACATATCATGGACTATGCGTGTGTGTGAGAGAGAGAGAGAGAGAGAAAGAGAGAGAGTGAAAAAGAGAGAATGCAAGAAGGAAGGAAAGTAAGAAGGAAGGAAGGAAGAAGAAAGGAAGGAAGGATTAGATAATATCTAGAAAAACTTCCCACTATAGGAAAAAAACTCCTCTGATCAATGTTAAATTCTTACCACATTTAAATTTATATGTTATTTTCTTTTTATCACAAGTAAAATTTTTACTGATTTCCCAACATAAACAAAGAGAAGTATTTGCCTTTTCAGGTTCTACACACTCATTCAGCTGAAAATGTTTATGATCTGTTAAGAAAAAGATACAAAAATAGATGATTAATATTTCATAATGTGTGCCTTATGCTCAATTACAGTCATTGAAATTATATTCATGATACAGAATCTGGCAAGAATTTAGATTACTTTTGAAAAAAGTCTAATAACTCTCAGCATGTTGAATTTCTTGATTCTTTAGTTTATTCTTTTTTTTAACATCACACATATTGGTAGCATTTCACTTAGAATTTATGCTACTTTAAAAAAATGGAACCCAAGGAAACGTCTAGATAAAATTGCATTTTTTGCACATTTTAAAAGACTCACTCCATTTTGTTTTCTTCTTTGTATCTTCAATTTTTCATTTACTCTTTGATTTTTTTCATTGCATGATCATTACACAGAGCATGGGGGCTTCACTCTGGGCAATGTATTGTCTTAAATTGTCATTTTCTGTTTTTAATTGATCATTTATTCCAGTAACATTTAGAGAAAAATGAATAAGTTAAAAGGCATTTTTTCAAAAACATCAGATATTTAACCTATTTAAATGTTAATAAGTCAATCAATGATCTTGAATTATTAAAAGATGTGAGAGATTCAACAAACTTACATAGTCCCTGAATCCCTTTTAGAAAATGCATTTTGTGAAGGTAGCTTCTCTGAAGTCAGCTTGGTACCATAGTCTCCTCTTTCCCAGCAGTAGCTTAGGTACTAAAACCAGCTTGATCGCCTTAACATGACTATAACGCTCCCCTTTTTTTTTTTTTTTTGGTGAAAGTACTTTTGTTCTTTCCACAAACATCAAATCTTTGACTTTGTGTTATTCCCCCAAGATATTCTAGACACACTTGTATTTAAAAGGATTTATATATATATATATATATATACACACACACACACACACACACACACACACACATATATAATGACTTGAATTCAGTAGCGGAGAAAAAAGAAAGCTTGTAAATAACCACTCAGTGGGATAAATTAGATCCAATCGACGTGAAGCACTCTGTAAAAGAGGTGTAAGGAGGCAGGTAAGGCTTCTCTGAGGTTACCATTTTCACTGGGTCTGGAGAGCAGAAGTCCACACACTGGCCTCCTGCCGCCATCTTTCCCTCAGCCCTGTTCCCCTGCCTACTAACTCCTGTGACCAGTAGGACACGTCACACACAAAACTGCAGTGTTGCTGTAAATGCACGAACAGAAATAAACTGATATTTACCTGGTGGTACCTCTAATAAATATTCAAATGGAGGGTAACATGAAGGATGTGATATATTGATATTCTTCTTTTCACATTCCTGTAGGCCATGGAGATGCTTTTTATACACACCATTCGCTTCACTAAGTGTTGCATTATACGTTTCATTTTCCTTGCTATAAACGTAGTGCACAGAGATACCTGCATATTTGTCTTCTGAAAGAAAATAAAATAGTGAAGCTTATCTTTTATTTTTCAGAATGAATAAAGCTCTATTAAATACAAACTGCTTAATGTATATTTTTAAGAATATCCAATCTCCAACAAAAGAACCCCAGGAACATAAAAAAGAGAAGGGACAGATCAGTGCCTCCATGTTATTCTTTCGTGATTCCCTTTTCATCACTGTCCCATCAAAGACCTCAGCTTGTGAGTTTGTATTTGGATGATAATTGGATTAATGTCTGTCTTCCTAACTGGACTGTAAATTCCATGAGAGAAAAATCCCATCAATTTTGACCATCGCCATAAATCCAGACCCTTGTGTAAAACCTGTCATCAGAAAGGGCTCAAAAATGGTTGAATTACACAGAAATGAACAACGCATCTGACAAATTTCTTCTTCTTGCTCTATCATTTCCCTTGCTTTCTAAAGTGTTGTATTTGATTATCTCTTTCTCTTGATACGGGGAACATTAGGGAGCAGAGGCCTCGTTATTCCTCTACTTGTGTAAAATTATTGATAACAACTCCTCCTAAGCACTTTCTCTGAGTGTCATCTCACACTCTTCCCTTTATTTAAACAGACTCCATTGACTCGTAAAAATATCTTTTCAACACACATTCACTTATTCACTCATTTTTAGTACAAAAAAATTATGAAGCCTTTATTTTGCTTAAGACACCGTCCCAAGCACTAGGAATACAAATGATCCGCTTTTGGAACTATAGAATCTAACGTGCAGACAGGCACAGGCATGAACTACAGAAAACACCAGAATAAGATGATGCACAAAATAATACAGGGGTAAAGAGGCAGAGAAGTCTGTTCAGGTTGCAGGACCAGGAGGGGCCCTCCAGAGAGGTGAGTCAGTTTGCATTTAAAATATGAGCAGGACATAGAAAAATTGATGGGGGGAGGGAGGTGGTAGATGAGGATGCATTCCAAGTGTAGAGGAAGAAGAACAGGGGTGGACACAGGGGCGGGAAGAAACATGTTTTAAGAAATTGAGCACTTCCACGTTACTTAAGTGAAAAGTGTAAGGAGGCAACAGTGCAAGAGGAACCTGGTCATCCAGATCATATTCATTAATCAAACATACAAAGGCTGATGTCTGCACTAAATATACAGAGAGCCACTGAAGGTCGGGACTCCAGCGGTGAGATTTAGAAACACGTGGAGGGATGAGCCCTGGCCACGAAGGACTCTGCTTCCACTGAGGACAGAGGAAGAAAATGGGAAAAGGATGGATACAAGCTGTTCTCAAGCGTCTGCTTTGAGCCTAACCCTGGCGAGACAGAGAGACTTTTTCTTCTTGATGAGCCTTGAAGGTATTATTCACATTTCATATTTATCATTACACAGAATCCTCTCCCAACCGCGAAACAACCTTGCTATCATCCCACTTTACAAATACGCAAACTGAAGTTAAGTGGCTCCACCAAGGTTGTTTAGCTAGTAATTATCAATCCTAGTCCTCAAAACTAGGTCTGAATGTGACATCAAAGCTTCTTGCCCTGAAGGACCCTGGCTCTTAATAGTTGGAGCTAATCGTTGGTGAGAAGTTAGAGCCAGTGAGTTTAGCCTGCTGGGGGGTCTTGAAAGCTTGTAATAAATAAGGAAATCACTAAAGTGATATATGTTGCCTCTAGGTAGACAAACTTACCACATGATGGCTTATGTGTAGTAGTAGGATCTGTAATAGAAAAAAAAGAAAATGCAAATTATTAAAATTGCATTTTAGAATATCTCTGCTCTAGTCATTCTGAGGAAGGGTGGTTTACAATGTTTCATCTTCATAAACTATAGACTCTACTGAGTTAGGTTTAACAGATAATGCAGAGTTTGCAGTGCCTGTTCCCATGTTTGGATCTCAAAACTTCAGAGGTTGTAAACCAACAAGCTAGTTCTATAAAACGTTTTCATAAATTCTCCCAATAAACACAACTGTGATAATACAATATTAAGACTTTTGGGCACACATCTGATTATGTAATGGTGACGTGGTTGACTATTTACGCAGCCAGAAGTATTTTAAAAGTCTTCCTCCCCTTGATTAATCTCAAAATAGGTTTATATAATTATAATCCTTAGAAAGTTCAGTTTACTCCTTTGGTTATTAAAAAAAATCAGAAAATAGGCAAGGGCTGCTTCATTGTCTGGTTTAACTTTTGTAAGCTCTTTGCCCATATACTAAATCCAGGGTAACACATCGTTCCGTCCACCAACTGAGAACTATCTTGTGTGAGCATATGTATTTAACTGAAGAATTGGATGGAAATGGGGTTTGTGGAAGCTAATAGATCTCTGCTAATCTGGTCTTTGAGATGGAGAACTTGCAGGGAGAATAGTGTCCTGGCAGGCTCTGAATGGCTGACCCATTGCAGACTCTACCACCTCCTGGACGTTCGTTCCCTGCATGGAGCCCCCCACTTCCATCTCCACATCCCACGTGTGTGTCTGGGGCTCTGCGATCACTCCTCTGCCACTGACCTCTTGGAACAGAGAGCTCCACTGAGAGAATTGTTCTTCTTCATACCAACACTGAAACCCACTCTTAGAAGTCCTAGTATAGCTGGTAATTTCTACGAGTTTTCATAGAGTACACAACTTTTGGGGGATTCTACGACCATGATGTAAGAGGTTATCACAGTAACACCGGTCCTGATCTCATCGGCTGTTGCACTACAGAAACTGATCTGTGCTTTGGACTAACTGCCCTTCCACAGCCCTCAGGACTAGAACACTCAATTGAACTTCTCGAAGAAAGAGCCCAGGGTGGAGTCAACGGAAGACCCTTCAATGAGCATGTCCAAAGCACATGGTGGTGGTGCGACTGCGTGACTGGGGGTCAGGTTGTCACCTGTTGTTGTGAGATCAGTTGTAGAGATAATGCCTTTTGCAGGGGTCGGAGAGGATGGTGTAGTGGACGCATTGAACACATCTGCAAGGAAATGAACAGAGGGCCACGGTTAATGAGTTTGTCATATCGAGGGTCGAGGGGAAAACTCTTTAGCAAAGATGATTTCTTAACTGAATCTTTGCTAGAGGCTTCCTCCTCGTTTGAATTGACACTTGCTTGTTTTTAAAATAAGAAAGTGAGTCAAAGATTTGTCTACACGTGGCCCTTTAAGATGACTAACAGTGCAAACAATTGGAACTAGACATTGTATACGTTGAGAAGAAACTATTCATTCCTTAGTATAGTTCTGACATGTGCAGTCTCCCTCAAACTACCTCTCATCCTGTTACAGCTATCCTTATTTTAATTACTAACAAGGATACCCGTTACCCTTTTGTACTATTCAGTTCATACCAGACTTTTTACATATTCCGTCTTCCTATCAATCCTATGAAATGAGTATTATTATACCCATTTTTACAGAAAGAAAAATTGACACACAGAAAGTCTAAGTAACTTGTACTAAAGTCAGCTAGAAAGTTGAAGAGGCTATATTTGATCTCAGGGCTATAGGACATTAAAGTTTGTTATCTTTCTTCTTCACCATGAACTTTTATAATATAAATAATAAAATAAAATATGCCCATAGAAAGCTTACTGGTAAGGTTTTTTTTTTTTTTTTACTAATTTAGTATCACTGTATGAAAATTTGTAAAACAGCAAGCCCACAGTCATATTTGGTGTGAAATAAAAGAGGCGCATGACAGTTTTCAAGTTTCCATTTCATCATCCAGAACCTAAAACACCTAGAGCATCACGGTCAAACCTGAGGCATTGTCTTGGGTGGTCGAGTTGGAGATGTGTGGAGGTGAGGCAGCGGGACTGCTGTGTGCAGGGCTGAGAGTGGTTACTGGTGGGAAAGATGTGTCTGCAGGCAAGGTGCTCGGTGCAGTCCTCTCTCCTGGAGCCCCTGTAATCACAAAGACCATCAGCCTTCCTGCCCCACAAGGGCAGGGGCCACACAGCACACAGAGGCATGTTTATTAATAGAGGCTAAGGCCAGGGCTTTCCTAGTGGTGCAGGGGTTAAGAACCTGCCTGCCAAGGCAGGGGGCATGGGTTTGAACCCTGGTCCAGGAAGATCCCACATGCCATGGAGCAATGAAGCCCATGCACCACAACTACTGAGCCTGCACTCTAGAGCCCACGAGCTACAACTACTGAGCCCACATGCCACAACTACTGAAGCCCATGCACCACAACTACTGAGCCTGTGCTCTAGAGCCCGCGAGCCACAACTACTGAGGCCACATGCCACAACAACTGAGCCCACGTGCCACAACTACTGAGCCCACGTGCCACAACTACTGAAGCCCACGCACCTAGAGCCTGATCTCTGCAACAGGAGAAGCCACTGCAATGAGAAGCCCACGCCCCGCAACGAAGTGTAGCCCCCCGTTCGCTGGCAACTAGAGAAAGCCCGCGCTCAGCAACGAAGACCCAAGGTAGCCAAAAATAAATTTAAAAAAAAATCACTTTAGAAGCTAAGGCTGGGCAGTAAACACTCAAGCACTCCTGCTACCTCACAACCTACGCGTCTACAAAATGGGATGAAAAATAACACGGCTTATGGGAGAGATGAGTTTAAGGGCAGACACCTCAGAACCTATGCAGCTTTGGCATCACAGCACACATTTTAAAAGTATCTGGGACCTCGGGAGAAAGCCTGGACTGCCCAGGGAGGCCAACACTCCTGGCGGGGGGCTGCCTTAGGCAATACTGAAAATGCACAGAGTGGGTGCCGCTGGCTGGCGCAGGGACCACAGAGATGGACGTGAGCTCTGAGGGCAAAAGGCTGCTGCGGTGAGGTTACCACAAGAGGAACTGCCGCCCGCCCCTGCCAAGCGCCGTGGGTGAGGTGCACCTCTCTGGGGAGAGGTGCTTCCTTCCGATTTTCTGAAAATAGAGCTGAAGGGGATCCCGCCTGTGCAGTTGCTGAACTGGGGGATTGTTTTCCTTCCAGCTGAAGGTCACCATACTACCTTCACTATGGAGGCTCCCCTCGCCAGGAAAAAGCAAACTGGTTTAGAGCCCAGGAACTTCCCATTATATTGACAGCATCCCCTTCGTTTCCAATTACAGATGAGCTAGTGGGTATAGAATCAAGGGTTGTCGCCGATAAAAGCCCACACTGTATTTGGTTAGGACTTTTCATTGTTAAGGTTCAAAGCACCCACCCCATGTCACATCTTTCCTCCCACGCACAGACACCACACCCAGAATCACAGCACAAGGGAGCAACGTGTATTCACTGGGTGCCAACTAGACGCCTAGCACTATGCTAGTGGTCCTGGCAGAAGCAAAAGAAATAGGGCTAGCTCCTAGTTGAGCTTTGTGTGGTTATTTCGCTGTCACGATCCCTGGGGTCACCGGTTCAATGGTATGAGGTGGGTCTTGCATCTGCAGTCAGATGCTCAGTGTTTCAGCCGAGTGACACACGCATGCGCATCCCCCAGATGGCGCTGACGCGAGCCCTCAGGCACCCTCCAGTCACACACATCCATGCCACTAGGACCGAACATGCATCTGCTAAATTTTCAGTTGGGGTTCTCAGCTCAGTCTTCAAATACCACTGAACCCCAAATTTAGCTAAACCACGGAACAGGACGAATAGCTTAAACATCAGTTCTTCAGGTCGGGATCCTCCCACAGAACCAGGAGAAGAGGAGAAGATGCATTTTTTTAATCCTTTAAAAAAAAAATGGTAGGCACACAACTGGCCCTCTGCAAACTTTGAAATCAGCTAGGCTTGGCTTTAGCCTTCCTCCACATTTTTTTCTACTCCTCGCTTCACTAGCTCATTCTCTCTGCCCCTCCCCAAGGTCCCTGGTCCTCATGCCATGCTGAGGTCTCCCACCCTCACCCTCTGCACATCCCTGACCTTCCCTCTTCATAGGAAAACTACGTTCCCTGGTTTAGTAATCTCAGCGATGGCTTAGGAATGGCAATTACAATTGAATGAGGTTAATTAATCCTAATAGATGTTTAATTAGTGGAATTAGCCACTGGGAGAGGAAGAAGTCCTTGATGGGGCAAAGCAGACTAAACTGTGTGACGACCAGCCTCCCATGTCAACCCTCCTTAGCTTTTTCCCAGATCCTTCCCATCCACAACTTCTGTGGATTTGCTAAAAGCTCCAGATCTTTTTACTGCTGTTCCCATGGCAGCCAGAGTGAGTGAAATGGGGCAGGGAGACGAGGGCAGCTCTTTCGCCAGCTGTTTAAGCTTCCCGGATTGCCTGTAATGATTTTTATGCTGAAGGAGCAGTTTTAATACTTCAAAATAATAATTATTCTATCTGATACACTTGGCTTCCTTGTTGGAGCCATACTTAAAGCAAGGCCACTTCACTGCCAGGCTCCCCATTCATATCTTTAATTTTCAGGCTCTCAGGTCACTAAGTGTATACATGTGGCTGTGTGCACTTGCAACCTGAGAAACATGCTTGTTTTTTAGGGTAAAAAGGGGCACCGTGAACTGATTAGACACCAGTTTTGGAAAGACCAGGGAGAGGATATTTTGCAGTTTTTATAAATAGAGATGCTGAACTGAAAGAATCTTGATGTTTGAATGGAAAATATGAGCATCCATTTTTTTTTCATTCTTTTAAAACCGATGTATTTGTGGTTATAACTTCTCAGTGCCCTTTATTGATAATGTACACCATCTACTCTTCACTGTTTTGTTTAGGTAGGAGGTCTTTAAGGAAAGAACCTGTGCATATATTCTTTATTACTAGCAAGAAGTTTTCATTGCAGAATTATACTTGCCTAAAATATAAACAAACATATAAAGCCCTGACTAACCCCCTGAACAGGTCTTTCCTGTATTCTCATAGTTCTCATTCTTTATCAATTCATCACTAGTACAAGGACCTTTGTTAGGTGCCCTCTTGGAATAGGGGTGACTATGAAAGTTTGAAATTCCAAATCCATCCACCAGCAAATGCTACACGTGGAACAGTGGTTGGAGTCCCTCACTCCGTACTTAGACGGTGTTCATGTGCTCTTTGTATTTGCACAAGTCTGAAGGAGCCACAAACTGGACTTGACATTCCTGCCTAGAGCTGGGGTGAGTGCAGAGAGGCACCCGCGGGTCTGCGGGAGACGGCAGGTGAGGCGTCTGGGCTGGTTAACCTCTAAGGTAGGAAAGCGAGATCATTATATCAATATCTCCCCATGGCAGGCGAAAATTTTAAATACCAGGAAGTTATAAGGAGCAAACTGTTATTATAGTTTACCAAACTGTGAAATGGCCCAGTCTGTTCAAGTGCAAGTCTGCTCGCCTTTAAGTTCACCTGCCAGAAGCACCCGTGTGCTCGTTTACACATCTCGGAGCCTGTCTGGGTTGATGCAGCCATAGATGGCTCATGTTTCCAGGTGGCTTTTGTGACTTTCGGGTCACTATGAGCTTTTGGAATTCTCCATCAACTCCACAACTGAAAGTGAGGGCATTTCTTTGTAGGCAGAATAAGCAAAGAATCCCCCAATATACAAGAATCTCTTACACGAGGAAAAGACCAGAAAAATGTGCGAGAGATGTGAGAGACAACGGCCAAATAGTATATGCAAGGATGCTCATTATTATGAAAAAAGTTTAATGTAAATCAAAGCATAAATCAAAATGAAAAGTGTTTATCATACTGACAGAGTTTTAAAAGATTGATAATAGCTAGTATCAGAAGTGATATGAGAAAACACACACTCACAGAATTATATGTTGAGAGTCTGGAAGATAAGACAACTTTTTAAGGAACAGTGTTTGGGGAGAGTGTATTTTCATTGTGTGTGTGTGTGTGTGTGTGTGTGTGTGTGTGTGTAATGCTTCTATAATGCTGTTTTGCAACATGCATACATTAATTTTATAGAGATAATATTACAAAATTAAATTTAGTGTTATGTATGTGAATGCTTATTGTAATAATTTTTTTAATTTTTGAAATGGTGTATATTATACTGTTACAAAAATGGATTGAGGCATAGTTTTCCCCCTCATATATTAGTAAGCAAGAAAAATTTGATTACATTCCATTCCACAGTACAAATCAATCATAAACAAAGTAAATAACACCTATAGGTTTTAGCCCAGTAGAGAATTGAAATATCACCAAGATTATTTTCCAGAAAAATAAATGTGTTGTATTGTTTGAAAGCATAAGAAATTTTCCAAGCTAATTTTATCACTAGTATTACTGAGCCAGAGCAAGTTAGTATTTTTAAATAATTCATCCATATGTCCAATCTATTTCATTTTAAACCTTTTTTTCTCGCACTTTGCTTCATATGTAAATCTCTGGCTTTAACGTTTTCAGGGGAAAAAAATTGGGGAAATAAAAAGGTAGGAACGTTGTATGTGTGTATTTGTGCATGTGAGGTGAAATGTGGAAGCTTTGAAATAGAAAACTCTGTGTGATGTTATTCAGTCAATAAAAAAGTTTAGCATGAAAAGTTCTATGTAGCCATCAGTTCCCTCTCATCCTCACATTCCTTTTGTTAAAAGGAATTCCAACACTTGCAATGTTTAGATAGGTCCCAGCCACCTCCGCTGCCCTATGGTAGGAGGGAAAATGGGATAAAGATTAAATATACCTTACTGTAATTTATATAAAAGGCACTGAACATTTGTTCAACCACTTACCACAGCCAATAAACTTCATCCGGATGGTACTCAAAACACTGCGTGCACCCATCACCCAGGAATGTGATGGTGTTACCCATGCTTGCGTTTCAAGCTAAGATTGATGACCTTATTGAACAAATATCTTAGTCTTTTTAAACAGAACATGTCTATTAACCAGTTTGCCTCAGAAAGTGGCACACAGCACATTATTTAGGAAAAGGCAGGAACCAATCTCAGGATGGTCAGTTTATGTACCAGATACACTTGTGGACCTAACATTAAACAGAGAATGAGTGGATCAATGGTGTCCCTGGATTCTAGGAGCATCAGAGGTTTTCCCCAGCAGAAATACCTCCCATGTCACTCTGATATTTTGCTACGAACAGGACCACATCATCTTATATTCTACCATTGGGACTCACAACCCTAATTAAATACTTAAAAAAAAAAAAACAGTGCAAATATCCCTGGAAGAAATCCAAATAGCAAAGCTGAATTATTAATCCTCAGTGTGTTTTTTTAAAAAAATAATAAATTGTCTGTCTCCAATCATTTTCTGCTATTGAGGATCTGGGATTGAACCAAGAAAATTTCTACTTTGGGGTAAGAGCCGGGGAGTGTGAGACCAACAAAGACCTGAAAGAGGACATTCTGACCTCCCCGGAGTTACAGAAAACTTAGGTGAGCAGGAACCAGGAAAATGATGCAGCACGTGGGGATCAGAGGACACCGAGAACCGCCTCTGTCCCCCGTCAACACACCCTGATTTTACTTAGGGGGACTTCCCTCCCTCCCCATCTCCCTAACAACAGGCTTCATTACTTACGCCGGCCAATATTTCATGAACACCTAGATGTTCTACGTTTTACACACTTTAGTAAAATCTCACACGTAGAAACTGAACATAATTTAAACTGTTCTGATAACTTTAAAATTTAAAAAGTAAAAACAAAGAGAGACAAGTTTTTCCCTAATCCCGTCTCAGTTAAGGTCGCTGCCAACCTGTCACAGCAAGAGAACTATCATTATCCCAAGAGTTCAGGGATGTTTCCGTGGTGGTACTTTCTGGGCTAGGAGGAGGCGTGGTCTCTGAGGAGTCATTTCCTCGTTCAGAGATGCTTGTGAGTGAGAATGCAGTGGTGTGAGCAGGTAAGGGATCACCTGCAGGCAGAGTAGAGGGCTCTTCTGTTGTGTTCATTCCTGTCACATTCATGGGAGATGGAAGGGGGAGAAAATAAACATGTGAGTCACACCCTGAATCATATCATCTGAGCCAGCTAACCCCCAGCCCATTACCACACGTACATAAATATACCTACCTATACGTGTGTATATACACACACACACCATACAGATATGAGTTATGGTGTGTGTGTGTATATGGGGTGTGTGTATATTTGACAATGCGTACACATGTATGCACATGCATACGTACAAATATAGATGCATCCAGAGGGACAGATGGAATATATAGACTTAGACAGAAAGCAAGCTGCAGAACAGGGGCTAAAGGTGAAAATGGGGAAATGAGGTGAAAGCAGCTATTCCCTGCACTCTTCTCACTTCACTGGTGGATTCTCAACTGTCCAAAGCAATTGGGTTCAGAAGAGTGAAACACCAGGCGTAAAAAGGATTAAAAGAAATTGTGGAAGACTGATCAACGAAGAAAAGAATAAAGAAAGATAAAGATGGAAGGGGATTATTAGGAGGGCTAGGCATTCCAGGAGAAGAAAATGAAAGACAAGAGTTCTAGACGCACACACTGTTTTTTTTTCCTTAATCAATCAAATTCAAACAAAGCAAAGACCAAGCAAAAGACTGGAAAACAAAATTCACAAACAAGTATACAGATGACCCAAGTCTACAAAAATGTTTTTTTCATGATAACCAAAGAAACACAATTTGAGATACTGATATAACTTTTTCCCCAGTTTCAGTTCACTTCAGGAAAAAGAAAACTGTGGCAAGAGAAAAGAAAACTGTAGAAAGGGCATGGTGAAGTAGGTCTGTGCACAGCTGAGATGAGCACACAAATGCAAAAACCTGCCTGCAGAGCAAATGAGCACCGTGTACTAAAGGCCTTTACATTTGTGTGTTCTCTTATTCAGAAAGTGGATTTCTTTATCTCGAAGAATGCGGAAGTACACCAGTTTAAAAAAAGAAACATGTTGTGCTCTCTGAATATTAGGATTATAGAGGTGCATTTTTTTCTGAATTTTCTGTTTAACATGTGTTTACTTCTATGAATAGCAAATTTTGTTTTGCAATATCTAATTAATAAAAAATTGAGTTATATCACACAAGCATTTTAATTAACTCAGTTCAATAAGATTGGACAAGCGAGAATAGCATAAATATGGGAAAAGGGAGAGAATGGGGGGCGAATCAGAAAAGGAGCAGAAGTGCTAAGAAGGGCAGAACTAAGAACGGAAATGGAAGATCACTGAGTAGAGAATTAAGAAATGGAAACAGAAACGACACAAGGAAGTCCCAGCTTTGTTCATTAATGTTGAAGGTGATGTGAAATCCATTTTTACTAAGTACCCGTAAAACCCATCTGAGCTGCATGGAATTGCCTCGACGTCAGTGTACACGAAAGATCACAGAACTATTCTGTGATTACAGAAATCCAAAGAGATAGGACAGCTGTTATATGTGTTCTTTTCCAAAGAAAAATTCCAATCCCTAAAATTTCATAGCCTAATAACTCACAAATAAATGTTTTTATTAACAAACTTTTACCCATAATTACATGTCAACATGTTCAACTAAGTAACAAGCAAATGGTGCCTTCCTGTCTTCAGTGTCAAATCCTAAATCTAACTTTAGTGTTCTCTCATCGTTATAGTATATACTGAATAAAAGGAGGGGAGGTGGGTTGGTGGGGGAGAGACTGGGGAGACAGGGATGGGGAGAGAGAGAAGATGGAAGGGTGGGAGGAGCTTAAAATTCTGTCCAATAACATTCATTCACATTCAACATTATAGACGACCAATTATTCGTTTATTGTTTTCAGGTTAAACTAAGTTTAGTGTCAGCAAAGTTCCAATGATCCCATTTGCTTTGAGGAAACTGTTGCAACTTTATCACCCCCTCCATGCCTTTGCTAGATTTGAATTCCAAAGAGGGAAAATCACTGCAAATATCTCATATAACAGTGCTTTACTGTTTTGAAGAGTAGCATTCCTAAGGATTACTTCTAGTCAAGAGCAAATTCAATTCATGGTGTATGAAGAAAGGGTGTTTGGAGAACCACCCTCCACCTAGAAGCCTTAACATCCTTGCAGACATTCTAAAGCTCCATGCACATTCCCTCACTTCATAAATAAGAACTGAATTTAGGATGAGAAAGCATGCTTCAGTTGCCAATTCCACATTGCTCCTGTGCTCCCGCTTTGGAGAGATACTGGTTTCCACTGATCACATTCTCCTAGGCAGTATTTGGGAGAGAACGTTCTGATTTGCATTGGGGGCCACTATTTTAACTTACCTGGTTTCACCATTTGGGGGCTTGTTGTGATCGAGTCTGGGCAGAGATCAGGACACTCTCAATAAGGTGAGGGTCACTTACTGTTTTAAACCTTCAGTCCCCTTTCTACTCCCTCCCATTCCCCTTCTGCAAAAGTAACCTGTTTCTATGGTTGAGATGAATTTACTCTTCTGTAAAAGGTGGAGATGCTGAGTTGCATGTCTTTAGGTGGCATAAACCAATCACAATATGCTGTGCATCAATGACTTTAACATATTTATAAAACCTCTCTGCCATGGTAGAGCTTCTTTAATAGTCCACTTCTCAGAACATTTTGAACGTGCCTCATTAGAACTGTGCATTATAATTGTTAAATCAGGGTTATCTTAAGGGCTTTACTTATCTTCTTAACGCATAATGTCAACCATATGATTAATCAGGACATCAATAATATATTTTCAATAACAATCTCATTTAAGTGGTGTAATTTATTTTTAACCAGATCTAATTTTTCTTTCTTCTTTGACACTTCATATACATGAATTTATTGTCAGCATCTTCATTGCTTAAATGTATCTCAGGATTAGGACACTTGTTAAGACAATTCAGTTGTACAATCGAATTTAGAAATGATTATCACAAAATATCTCAATATTGTCAAAACTTTTCTCTTGCAGGAATTTATATAGATATATAAAGTTACGTTTAGAATTCTAATTTCTCATATAGTTCCTTAACTGTGAAGTTTTGCAATCTAACTAAAATAAATTGATTTATTTATAGTGGTAAAATTTAAAAAGAGATTGGAAACCTGCTATGTGATTTACTGTCAGGTGTAAGAAAAGTTATAATTTATACACAATAATACATCTACAAATAAAAATATGTTCAGGTAGTTATCAAAGTTTATATCTTACAAGCAGGAATGTTAAGAACAAGAGAATGTCAAGGACTATTCATGATTATAAAGTTGTCCTTACAAAACGATTTCCCAAGAAAATAATAGAAAATTCTATCAATGTTAAATATATAAACTTGGCAAGAATAAGTAAAATGTAAATACCTTGAATGGAAGGAAAGGTGTCTTGTCCTGCAAAAAGGAAAACAAACATCTCTTAGAAAGTTTCAAACTTCATACATACATATGTAAATATAAGTTAGATTTATGTGTATATCTATATATGTATATACAAACAGCATCCCTATGTTAATTCACATTCACAAAGTGACAATTTTCAGTACATTTTATCCCAGTGAAACCATAGTCCTTCTCTTAATATCATGCTTACAAAGCCCAAGTATGTCAAAACTATGCTATTAGTTTTTGAATTCTCAGGTAAAATAAAAATAATAGAAAAAAAGGAGAGCTTTGGAATTAATTTCAAGTCTGCAAAAGACTTTGAAAAGGCTTCTGGAAAAATTTTCCCAAATGCATTCCTTTATTGAGATGATGATTATTGATTGAGTACTTACTATATTCTAGACATTATGCCACATTCTAGGATAAAATATGATCGAGTTATAGAAATTCTCTGCCCCCAGTGAGCTTAGTTCAATGTGAGATATAGAACAAAAAAAGAAAAGAGAGAAAGAAGGAAGGAAGGAAGAAAGAAAGAAAGAAAGAAAGAAAGAAAGAAAGAAAGAAGGAAGGAAGGAAAGAAAGAAAAAAAGAAAGAAAGAAAGGAGGAAGGAAGGAAGAAAGAGAGACAAAAAGAGAAAGAAGGAAGGAAAGAAAGAAAGAAAGAAAAGAAAAGAAAGGAAGCCATACAGTGTGATGACAGATGAGAAGAAATGTGATACAGAAACAAATATGAGGATTACCTAATTCAGACTCCCAGGGCTGGTGGCTGGCTGGTGGAGGAGGTGTTAGAGAGGGTTTCGTGGGTACATTTAGTCTGTGACCTAAAGGATTATGGACAGCTACCTTAGTCCTAGAATAAGAAGAAGTTGGGATTTATCTTGCAGGCTTTAGCCATCGGCAAGAGGTGTTAAGGGGAGGTCTAATGGAGAAGCATTTCAATTTTCGATCAGTCTTGTTATGAAATGGAAGATAGATTATCAGAAGGCAAAGCTGGGAACAGGAAAATGAGGAGACTTAAAGAAAAGTGTATGAGAAGGGTGATGTCCTATGTGAGGAAAATGGTACCCACAACTCAAAAAAAAAATGGGATTCATGAAACACTTAGGAGGTAGTCATCAAGGTTTTGTAAAGCTTTGAATGCAAGGAGGAGGAGGAATAATTAGAAAGACACTCAAGTTGGTAACTGAACATCCTAGTGAACTGCAGTAGGGAGACTGTGGATGCTTTCATTGAGTGAAAGAAGAAAGGAAAGCAGGTGGGAGGGGAGCATCTTATACGCCTGAGACTTCTGTGTGAAAACGCTTAGCAGCGCTATCTGTGGAGGTGAGCAGCTCAGGCTATACATCTGGGCTGAGGCTGCAGATCAGCATATGGACAGATATTACAGCTGTGGAGGTGACGATTCCAAGTCATATAAAAGAGGAGCATCCAGGATAGAACCCTAAAGCTTAATGTTGAAGGAGAGCCCAGCAAAGGCGACCTAACATTCCATGCAGTGGAGAGACCGAAGTCAACAAGACTTCAGAGCAAGGGTTGTTTCAAGAAGGAAATGATTGAACTAAGACGAGTACTAACATGGGTCACTGGATTGATCACTAGGGTCTGTGGGAATGTTGGGAAAACCGGCTTTATTGGCGTGATGGGAACTGGATTCCATCCACATCGAGTAAGACGTGGATCCATCCGCCATCTTAGTAAGAGACAATTAAATAAAGAGATCATAAAGTTCTCCCCCAAATGACAGTCAACTCACCTTGTGAAAGGGCAGCAAGCAGCAGATGGAAGTATGGGTGCGTGAGTATTTAAGGTACTTCCTGCCTTGAGATTTTATTTTCTGAGAATAAACTGATCTGAAAAAACTCTCTCCCCTCAGAAGCACCATCAGAGGTATATGACCCAGTATTCTTCAATCACATTTCCTGGCTTATTCCTCAAAATAAAATGTATTTTTGTATTTTATATATGTATATGTAAAATATATATTATATAAATATGTGTAATTAAAATATATTTTTAAAAATATATAAAATACTTTCTTATTTTCTTATTATAGTTCTCTATGTTTTCTTCCTTTTCTTTAAATTTATTTTATTGAAGTATAGTTGATTCTACTTTTTCTTTACCATTCATACTTAATATTGTTTTAAATTTATATTATTTGCATTTTTGTCCCTGCTCTTTAGTCAGCTTTTATCTTTCTATCCCATAATATAAAATGACTTTTTTAAAGTTTTTTTTTAAGTTTTTATCTTCCTGTTAATAGTCTTCCCTTTCCTCTCATTTATTCTTATTTCCTTCTAAATAAAGTTCTTAGAATTGTGTTGATTTGTTTAAAAAAAAAGTAATAAGAGAAATAAAATATCAGCCTATCAGTAACTAACATCTTGTGTTTTAAGTGAAGAAAAAATAGCCCTCGTGGAAATTGTTCATAAAGAATTTAGCATATTGCCACATTCAAAATATTCAAGTTAGTTTAAGTGTATGAACACATTTCATAGAATACACCCCTCTTCTTCATCTGAGAAATCTATAAGGTTTTAAGTATCTAAAGCTATTTTGATGTGCCGCTTCTCGGTATAAACACTTAAATCCTTGGAACTTCAGACAAGTTCACTTGATTCAGTCAGGTCCAAGAAAGATGTATCGTTTTGCTGGCATGCTATTAGTGGCTGCTTTTGAACATGACAAAGGTATGGTCCTTTTCCCTGGAAAAGCTCATAACCCATAAGACATAGAGATAGAGATTTAATCTTCAGTGGTCTGCACAGACATTTAAGTCATAGATGTACTTTATTATGACTAATAAATAAAATCCGGTCCACCTGAGGTCAGCAAGAATCACACAAGATGAGGATGGTGAAGAAGAGAAGAAGCTTTGGCTACATAGCAAAGAGTCTTGCGCATAATATGTGGTCCACAAGTCATTACTGAATGATTCTGAGCATGAGTAAATGCAAGGGAGAAATCAGACCTGAAAACAACAGCTTTGGGACAAAAGCCAAGAGCGAACATTAGAGAATAGGTGAGGAGACTGAATGTTGTCCTGAGTGATGGAATCAATTAATATAGAGGAAAAATCAAATAGTAGATTTGATGACAAAGAGAAATCTTAATAGTACCCATACTAGCTCCATCACTAATTCCACAGACCACTCTAATCTATTGTTCTGATCTATTAATTTTTTGCCACTAAAATACGTAACACAAATGACATAGAGCATTTTATAACAAGGAATTATAATTTATCACATATTTATTGTGGACATGAGAAAAGAAATGATGGCACAACAAGGAAGCTATTTCTTTTTCACCTAAGAACTATGAATACGAGAATAAATATGCTAGAAATGTTTCCAACCAGTAGACCACTTATCAGGCCACATTTGTGTCAAATGCCCCAGTGATACTCATTTAATTCCAACTGGTTTGAAAGCAATGCATTTCTTTAAAGGAAATAGACGATGTTCAGTATTTTAGTCTAAGTTTGGAAAAGGAGAGCAAGGTAAGTTACCAAAAATGAAGAAGACAGTTACTAGGGATTTGTCTTTTTTAAAGAACATTTCAGAAATAATATTTTATTACTAATTGCTAATGTGTATTGAGTGCTTACTGGGTACCAGGCAGTACGCTAAGCCTTTTGCTTGTATTTTCTTTCTGAGGCATCAAAGCAACCCTCAGGAGCTCAGAGAAGACGGATGCCTTGACCAAGCTCTCAGGGCTGGTCCAGGCTAGCCAGGGCTTGACCCTGAGCCCGTCTGACTCCGCAGGCCATCTCTCCACCCTCTGGCATCCTGCTTTCCCCATCAACTTGGCCCTCTAGCCTTTCTCTCCATTTGACCTTTCAGCCAGGAAATTCTTTTAGCCAGTGTTTTAGGTTCCATAGAGGTCAGTGTTTATGAAAAGCTCAGAAGCTGAGTAAAAAAGCATCTTAATCAGGATCGGACCTCAGAGTAAATGACTCATAGTGTTACGAAGGCTAAAATAAACTTGACCCTAAATATAGACGTTCAGACTAAATTATAGTTTGCTAAGTGAATGCTCTCTGTATGGTACAGACCAATATCAGAAAATTCAGTGGTGTGTCAATTTAACTTACTACAGGATATTATTTTGACAGGAAAGGCAACCAAACAACAGTAACATCAAAAGAATTACCACTCACACATCTCTTGTTTAGCTGTGAAGAGGCTTCTGGAGCTTGGGAATAGAATAATAACATATCTGTATATCTATATATCTATAAGTTATCTATCTGTACCTATATCTACATATTTCTGGTCTAATCATGGTCTCATATCTAACATTTCCCCAAATCCTTTAACCTTCAATGCAACAAAATTCAGCATCCATGGAACGCAGCATAATATCTAAACATTGATCACACTTCCTTTCTTCTCTGTTCCTGTTTACTTCCCATAAAAGCTTCTCAGATTGAATATACATTTTCTTTTCTATCCATTTATCTCAGAAGCTGATTCTAAATTTGTCCGCTCAGTGATTTTTAGTGTATTAAAACACAGATGCTTATGTTTTATTTCATTTTTTTATAGAGTATTACACACACACACACAGAGCCTTCTATCTTTTTGAAAGAAAATTCCAAGCCCTCGGCAACACAGTTTATACTCAGTGTAAGACTAAAACCGCTTGTTCTCATGGTCACAAAATCCCTATAAGCAGATTTGCAGTCCCTGTAACACTTTTAGTCAACATGATAAATCATGTGAAAATTATTTAAGCACTCAAAATATAGGATAGAAGCACTTGAAAATAAAATTTTACAAATGTAAGCCATTCCCAAATTTAAGCCAACATTTTTAAGAAAATATTCAGGCGCTACAGCAATGTAACTGGAAATGACACTTTCATTTCAATAAGCTATATCCACTAGGCTACATACATTTTAAAAAACATTTCAATTAGTTTTTAAAACATCAAAAAATTAACTACAATTCGGAAAGTAGGAACACATATAAAGACAATCTACATGAAATAGACTAGTTATAAAT